AAAAGTCCTCTGATAGCCATGGAAACCGCGAGTCCATAGGCACCATGCAGCACTTTGCCAAGTATCATCCTGGCTTGGCTGAGGAAATGGCATCAAAATCTGCAGGTTTGGGTCGCGTGGTTGTCACTAAACCTCCACCTGTACAGCGGTTTATGAGCCGCACTCAAGCTGATGGTGTGCCAACCATTTCATGGGACGGCGATACTGTCGGTGGGGGCTCGCTCTTCTCCGTGCAGTCGCGTCTATCTGGTACCATGTCACCTACGGTGACTATGGTCAAGTTCACGCCACCTGCAACTGTGTCTGGGTCACATCGCTGGGAGAGTGCAGAGGTTGGCCATATCGATGTACATGGTTCAGAGATGTCAGAAGCAGGCGATTCACGCAATCCTTTCGCGGATGCGGCTTCCGTCAAGAGTGGCATTAGCCGACGCGTCACTAACCCATTCTTCAATGCGCAGGAGAAACCCCAAAAGCGCACACTCTTTGCCAACACCACACCCGAATCCAATCCCTTTGCCGACTCAAACACTCCCACTTCGAAACCTTTCCTTGAAGTTGAAACTCGCTCAAACAGTGATACCAGCTCCAACAATTCCCACGCTATGCAAAGTCTCATTGCTGCACTGGACATGTCAGCTGGGCCACGTCTACCCGTGTCATCTATGCGATCATCGAATTACTCCCATAATTCAACAATCTCTTGTGATGAAGTTGATGCGGTGAGCGTGACAGCCTTCCCATATCCCCCAACGCAAGTTCCACTCAGATGATCCACTTCCAAAACAACACGCTTCGCTTTCCGTTAATATGTGCAAACTTCATTTCGCATCAATACATACTGCCATCTTGATACATTATTTCATATTTGTATCTCGCGCATCCCACCTTCATACTTTTTTTTTTCATGGGGGCGCTTTACGGTCCGGTATCGACGTGTACCCCTCCCACTCTGTCACTCCTTGATCTTTTGCATGGGAGCAGCTTGTTTTGCGCTTTCCCTGTTACGTTACATCTTGTCCATCACTACTTGCTATCCAAATTGTTCTGAGGTAGATTTGTTATATTTGTTATATCTATTGTTACTAGCTTCACCATCTGCGCCTTCTCGCAGGAACCTTCAATAAAAGATGAATAGGGTAGACTTGTAAAATGTGAGCGCTGTTACTTGTGCGAGGCCTTCAGGATGTCAAAGTCTGTAACTGGTGCAACGACAATCGTATTGAGAGCAGTATTACTGCCTTGAACTGAATTATGATATTTGTTTTCGTATCTATAGGAGTTCATATCATGAACTCGCCACATGCACAAGCGAAACTCTGAATCTAAATGTGTAATGTGTAATCTTGCGGGCGGAAGCCAGGTGGCCCACGATTGACAACCTACTTAAGACGTACAGTGACTGATAGAAACAAGAACTCTCCTTCGGTCGGTTCTTGTTTTCACGCTAAAAAACACCCGTGCATAGTAGTTGGGCCCATGTTGGTAGCCCGTGTGATCGTTGATTAATGATTGATAATAGATATCTTCTGACCAACTTCAACTTGAGCAACTGCATTGGAAGCCCAAAAATCTCTTGTCTCCTAGCCCACAAAGACGCCTCTCCTCTCTTATCTCTGCTGGGAGATCATCGCTTGGTATGTCATCGCCTTCTGCTCCCCACGGTTCGAAAGGCGTGCATGCCATCTAGAACGTCACAGTGAGCTGCTGTCAACCGCAAATCGATGACGGGTGGGTGCCTCACCTGCATCACTTTCGCCATGATACGCTTCCCACTGTCACGGTCCGCCTCGACTTTTTTGATGAGCTCCTCAAGTACCCACTGTCTGAGCACAAAACGCGGGTTCACACTTTTTGCGGCGTCTTGTCTGGCGCTGTCAAAGTCAGCCTCACCAGCCCACTCTTCCCCATGGCGCTCGGTTTCAATACGTGCACTGTACTTGTCCAACCAAGCAATCCATTCTTCAGTAACTTTCCCATGATCCATGCGGTCCGGATCAGGCGTCCCGCTTAAAATCCCCTTGATGAATGCCTCCAATATTCTCTCACTATCATCTTCCTTCATCATCCCAGTGTGGAAAAACGCAAGCCGTCTAAAAGTGCCATGGAAGTCTAACTGTTGCGCCTCCATCATGTCCAAAAGAGGCTGCACGATCTCCCGCTGGTCCGTTTTCTCCTGACGGCGAAGCCCCAGGCGTTTGCGCATCAAGTTTCCGTATTCTGTAGCGCAAGTTTCTTCGAGAATCTGTTCCATTTCTACTTTAGGAAGTTGTTTGCCTGTTGTGCGCCAGGAGACGAGTGTTTCAGGCGTGGCTGAAGATGCCCAGCCGGGCTGGACTGCTTTGTTGCCTTGTGCGACTTCTGCGCCGATAAGTGGGGAGAGTGCATCGAGGAGAGCACGACAGGCGTAGATGCTGCAAGTGTGCTGTTAGAATGTCGGAAGACAGTTGTGACTTAAAAGACCAACATCATGTTTGGCTGATACTGGGTTGAGCGTTAGTTAGTTTACGAGCGGACATGAATAGTGTTTGACCCACCTTGTATGCATAGCGACCTTCTCCGTCACTATGATTACAGATATGGTAAGAGTCGAAGACGTCCATGAATGCATATGGGCCGTAATCTATCGTCAACCCAAAAATCGATATACTGAAACCAAATATTCAGTCGCCTAAAATTAGAAGTGGGAAGAGAAGTTCACTTGTCCGTGTTCATAACACCATGCATAAATCCATAGGCCTGCCAAGCAGCCACCATCCGTGCATTTCGTCTTGCAACATCAAACAAGAGTTCTTTACCCCAAGCATCACCAGCCTCCCAGTCGATACCTTTCAGTCTTAGCACTCTCCTCGCAGTCCACTCACCCAACTGTCGCAAAGCCTCATAGTCTGCGTCTTGCTGACCGCCACCGAGGAAGAAAGAATTGGATGGAGGGCTGAGGGCTTCAAAGTTACCAATACGTATAAATGTTTCTGCAACGCGTGTGACGATACAAGCGGTTTCTGTACGCTCTCGTGTGACTGGTAAGTCAGGGAGGGAGATTAGACTTAATGACCTGGTAGTCGGGATCGAGAGTGCATGCATGGCTACAATTTCGTCAATGCAAGCCCGGCACTATCAGCAAGGACATCTTCACCTTCTGAGCAGAGGTATTCTCGGATGGATGAGCGAAGTACAGCTAAACCATCCGCAGTGCGGGAGAAGGGGGTCCGTCCAGCACCCTTCAGCTGTATTTCATACGTGGTTTCAGCGTCTTCGGGGTGCGGTGTTACATCTAGCAACCTGTTAAGACATCCTGGAGCAGGCGTGGGATAGATGACTGACGAATTGAAATGGCGCGGCCGTCACCAAGCTGACCAGCCCAGGAGCCAAACTGGTGGCCGCTGTACCTGGCGGACCAGGGTGCAAAGCTAGGGCCAACGCTGGACTCGAGTGCCATCAGAACGGCATGGCCACTCAAGACATCCACCAATTCCTGCCTGGCAGCCTCAGCCTCTGGGGAAGAGGTCGAGATAACCTCTTCTTCTATCTGAGGGGCCAAGGCCGGGTTTCCCAGCACTTCAAATGCATCACCAACGTCTAGATGTGGTAGGCAGTCTCTGAGGCATGTCTCAGACAACCCGATGAGCTCCCTCTTCCTATCTCTGAGCTTGGAGGTATATTTGTTCAATGAAGGCTGGATTTGACTGCTAACTGGAGATGAATGACGAGCTTCGCGCTCGCTGATCCACTGCTCGATGTAACCAGCCTTGTCCTCGATGATGGCAGGTGGGTCAGGCGGTGTGATTTCGTAGGGAAACTCTAGTGGCATTGGATTCACATACGAGAAGTGTGATTCTTTGGAGAGTAGCCTTGCACGCCTCTGTAGACTTGGTTTGTTTGGCAAGACATCAGAGAAGAACTCCGCTGGACTCAGGGTAACTGGATCTGGGGTAAGGTTATGTGTCACGATGTGGCTTGACGGCGGGAGGGGCAATGAGGAGATGGGTACTTTACAAAAGTTTGCCATTATGGAACGAGCACGCAGAGTGTTCATGCACAGCTGATGAAGAATGATGGGATTGGGCAGGAGCAGAGGAAGCTGCTGTGACGTCGAATTCAAGGACTGGCAGGGGCCGTTTGTTGACAAGTGTTTGTACTAATTAAGCTGATCGGAGTCACGGTAATTCGATGTGGGCCAACCACTCTAAAAAAAACCACTTCCGTGGCGGCAGGGCCTACTATGATGAACGCAACGAGAAGACTGAAGACTGGCTTCCTGTGGGGTGATTCAGGCGTGTCTGAGTCGTTTTTCGTTATATATACACCAGACCAATAAATCAGGATCAGCGTGCCCGGCCAGCATACAAGATCGATCGGTCAGATTCGGTGGACTATTAACTAGATCCAACGAAGTGCGTGCATCGTCTTTTCATCATTATGATCATGTAGCCGGATATCCGAGAGCAATTGGGGGCGCACTGAATTAGGTATCTGAAGCGTGTTTGGAGGCGCTGCAGGAGTGATGGCAGAGTTGCTAGAGGTGAGCATTCAATCGATTCAATTCTGATTTATCACGTCGGCAGTGCCCATGCTCATTGAGAAATTGGCGCTTTTTCGATTATTGCGTGTCTTCTAGAATACATTATGATGATTTAACTGATGGAATTCCTGAACCAATACAAGTTTGGAAAGATCATCAATGCGTCACGAGAACAGCATTCAAGAATTTGGAAACAAGTTCCCAACATCACGAACAGCTTTAACCTGTAGAGCGTTCAGATATATGTTTACCCAGTTCGTTACTCAATCGCACTCATCCAATATGCCCTTCGTCTCAGATAATCCCAGTTGGTGGCCGCTAATCAATGAGTTATATGGTTTCAGCTATTTTGTAGGTTCGTGAAAAGCCATTTGAATATGTCGGTGATGTATAATTGTCTAATCGTCCAATTCTAAACTTCACTGCGGTTGCACAGTTGCCGCATCTGCTACAGTAATATATGACTGGGGTGAGCAAGATGGCACCTATCATCGCTGGTATTCTTATGACATCTTCACTTTCAGCTTTGACATTCGGACAAGAGGTAAGTCAATGCCACCGTTACCAAAGCAGTCATCTCACTGCGAATGGTTTTATAGTTCGAACTGATTTGGGTAAGCAGTTTTAAATGAATATCAGGATGATACAATTGACTCGGGCAAGATGCAACGCTGGTCCCGCATGACTTTTCTATATATCAGCGTACGTAGCTCATATCATAAGCACAGTTGGCAAGTTGTCCTAACTTCAACAATGTTTTAGGTGCGCTATATTGGAATACTATATGCTGTGTATGTTCACGCCTTCTAACAAGTTGCCGCCAAGCTAATTAACCATCTTTCTCTGTCAGCATCAACATATTGCGTGTGTTTCCTCACATTTGCTGTGCTTGTTTTTTTGACTGTTGGCATTCAGCAAGCCTTCCGTCACTCCCAGTGACAGATATAGTGAGTGTTCCGCACCAAAACCTATCATTCCCGTTCAATAACGTGCACCGCTATGGAGGGGTGAGTGACATTGTCGGCCAGCTTGTCGGCTATAATGACCGTAACAGATGTAAGTCTTAGGTCCTCCGACGCTCATTACTAACTGGGGTTTTCAGGCCACAGTTTGAACTCTACACTAAACTGGATGACAGTGACTGTGAATACCATGCTGGGCGGTGAGCTACTCAACTACAATACCTCATGAGACTTGACTGAAACATCATACAAGTTATAATGATCACTCGATTACATGCCATGTATCAGCGATCCCGCAAGATACTTATCTTTCTAGTTGTAATTTTCGTGGCTTCCACGATCGCATGTGGAGTGGTCACTGCAATAGGAGACATTTATATGTTAGGAGGTGAGCTCGAATTATGAAAGAGTGCATTAAGCTTATTGGGCGAATACCAGAGGAGCTCATCCTCTCTGGTACCTATCAGTGCATTTATGAATGGGAAGGAGATATCTCACTCGATTCTATGGCCTGGGTACTCTACATTACATGGGAGATCCTTGCACTGTGTCTTGCAGTCTGGATTACTGTAAAACACTTCCGTGAACTGCGACGATCATCGACGGGACAAGCTATTGGGGACTGTTTTATGGTGTTAATGAAAACCCATGTGCTCTACTTTGTAAGGTGAGCTCGTAATTGAATGTAAGTTCTTCCCCCGCTGAAATTCTGCGCGTGCTAGCTTTGCTGTTGTTTCTAGCTTCCAACTTAGTCATTACTCTCCGAACTTGAAGACCAAGGTGTAACGACTGTCAATCATATCTATATGTGGCAACTTATCTTCAATCCTACAGGCATTGGAAACTGGAACTCTGATGTATACCGCTCATCTTGAAATTTACTCGATTGTGCAGATGTTTGTACTGGGACCACGTCTCATCCTCAGCATTCGAGAGTATCACACCAAGCTCGTGGACAACTCCGATGCAGGGACAGGCATAAGCACCATTACTTTCCGGGAGCATGGATATGTGTCAACTGGCGGTGATGTGTAGCACGAGAGAGAAATACTCCAAGTAGTTAACGCCTGTGGGGTGTTCTGCATGCATAGGCACAATATTTTTGTCGCACCTTTTTCGTGATACTCATGTGATGTGTAGATTTCAAAAGAGAGATGTACCTGAGTAAACGAGTAACGCACTGTAGTAGAACTAGTGTCCCACCTACACCTGTACGAATCTGGAATTGTCGCACTAGTCTTTTTACTTCATTCTGCAAAGTTGGCCAATCTCATGTGATTCTCGCGAGAGGCATACTTAGGGTGCTCAGAGCGCTCAGGCCTTGGATCATCAAAAATGATGCTTCGCCACTGATAAGGTTGTTGGCTTAGAAGCCAGTGTGCGTGCGATATTACTGAAAGGACTTGTTGATGAGTTATGTGTCTGGGAGTTCAGTCAAGCGAGTGTTGAATTTTGACGCTCCCCTAAGGTTATTATACACTCTTCCGGGAAGAATTCTGGGCATAGCTGGCTCAGACTCGGACACAGCCTGTGCACACATCGGCGATTGATGCTTGCAGCTGATATTTGTGCTCACCGTCTTTTATGGGTTACTCTCCTGGTGCATATTGACAATGAAGGCTTTGTACTCGTTAGCAACGCTGAGTCCCGAATTTCTCTATCATGAAACTGCGCTGTGCCCAAACCTCGTGCATGCAGGCCCTGCCCGAGCTCAGCTCTAGCGAGCCTATTTGCGACAGGTTAATACTTATTCGCTACAAACATCAACCATGATCGTTCGCCTCGCAGTGTTTATACTTGGGACTGGCAGGAGATAATAATATAATACCCGACTCACTTCTATAGCAATACCTAGGATGAACATGTTTCATGCTACACTCCAATATACCAAAGCAGCGGAGGAAGCCTTGACGACCACTTGTCCATTTGACACTTTTTCCTCTACAATGTTACCTTCTGCGACACCAGAAGCAAAAGTTTGCCCTGCCCAAGTCGTTAAATCGGCTGACATGACATCAGATCCTGGGGCTGTCAACCACTTGACTATTACTTCTTGGGTGTTCTTCGGCAAATACGCAGATATGTCGATCGTGGTATCAGGACGAGGGTACGTATCTGTCTGGCTGTATAGCTCAAGGTTTAAGAGGGCGAGCTTAGTTGGGTAATCGTGGCTGTTAGTGGATTTTTCGTCCCAGAAACCGTACACCGAGATCTGACCAGCAGAAGGATCACCACCTGCGGTCGTAACTGACGATCCATCGGCCTGTCGCCCTGGAAAAATATTTGAAAGGCGCAGTGGATTTGAGTAACCAATGGCCTCAGTCACGAAGAGGTAAGCCGAATATGACGGAAACACTTGAATGTTATCGACAGTGGACCTGTGGAATCAATATCAGTCCAAAGATATCGTAAAGTCACATATCGACATACCAGAGGTTGTAGTGTGCATGAGCACCTTGATGCACATACATACTGGAGATGAGATTAGGCTGCAAGTTCATCCGAGGCACCCTGGTCACGTACCGTGAGACATTGATGGAAGCCGCGTAGAGAATGGTATCCAACTACAAAAATGCTCAGATGTCATAAAATATAGTCCTTTTGTCAACGTACCAACCACATAGCCTGGCCGAATGTGTTGCTAACATTGGCTCGTCCACCGCAGGAAACAGAATTGAATTCCCCTTCGTCGTGGGTCAATATATATTCAAAATTTAATCTTATAATTTGCCTCACCAATAACAAAAGCATCAGGTCCGAGTTGGGCACGAACGCTGTGGATACGGGGCTGCCAAAGATCCAAATATCTACCGGATATTAGTGTATTGTGATCATAGCAATAGCCATGACTTACTCAGCCAAGCGTGTGTGATTTACCTAGATCCTTATTGCAATTAATAATTGCAATGGATAATCGACAGCTTGCTTACCAGGTTGACCAACGTAGCGCCGGCAGCGCTACTTGGATCGCAAACCTATTAATAAAGGCTATTTCAGGTTGGGTGTGGGTCAATCGGAAGCTTCCTCACGCTGTACTGGTATGTGTGTTCGCTACACGTGGTGACAGTGTGTCCATCGTTGGCCCCGGCAGCCAAAACGCTAACACAGTCAAGTTGTGCATCTGCTTGTGGGGTGTTATGCGGCTGCGCAGGGTTTGCAACAGTAGCCCCAATTTGAAACTCGGGATAATCGATGCCCAACGCCTTCGAGATATTGATAGTCCATGGCTACATACAGAACATGTAGGACCTCATCAAGGAAACAAATAGGAATAGAAATACCTCCCATATAGCGGTATACGTCTTAGGGTCAAGTTTGGGATTATAATGATCTGGTTCATTCCCTACTGAAGACGAGTAAAGGTTAGACCGGGGAGGGCCAGTAAGAGAAACGAAAGACTCACGTTCAAAGCGAGAAATTTGGGGTGAACCAAGACCCATCCATGCTGCCTTAGCCATATCAAGAGTTCCGGTATAATTCGAACTCCCTAGATTCTACACGGACTAGTTAGGTGCTAACATCCAATGATCTGATAAGTAAATGACCCACGAGTGTCATGACGATCTTCGTCCCTTCAGGCAACAGCTTCACACAATTCCAGAACTGGGGTCCAAGCGTAGTATTTCTTAGTGCACCCCTGTCGTCGATGAAATTGTATAGGGCAGCCTCCTGATTCGGATCCCAGAATGTCGAGTCAGCAGTAATGCCACCAATGCGCACTTCGGCTGGAACCCCAGTCCTCTCTTTTAGATTCTCAAAGAGATTTTGAGAAAATTTGTTCGGATAGGATTGGTTTCCTATCCACTGTTCGAAGTAGGCAGTTTCAATACTGAAGCTTGCGAGGGCGGGGTTTAAGGGTAGTGTTGCATCCGTTGGGAGCGAAGCCGGACCGGACAGCGTCAATTTAGACAGACTGCGAGACAAAAGATCATGTCTCGCAGATACCAGTGCGACACAAGGCAGAACTGTAGCCAAGAACCACATCACGCAGGAAGAAACAAGTGAGGTCAAGGATACCATCTTAACCACACCTTACCGTGACAGTATTTTATACGGACAGTGAGAAGAGAGCATGAGCGGTCCGTGAATACAAATTTCAGGACTATCCATATGTCCAAAGAAATGACAGGTCACAGAACGCGAAAAATTGGTCATGGAAAAGCCTAGGTATCCCCCAAGCCTGCAGTTCGGCGAAGCTTTCCAAGGGGTAAACTTCGGAGGTACTAGTCACCTTGGAGCCTGGAGGTCACTTCCTTTCTTTGACAAAAGTCATGGCAAAACAAAGTTGCCCAAGGTTCCCACATGCATATGGGAGTAGCAACGTCACGTACGGAGAAACTGTCGGTCGGACGAACGGAAATCTAAATGCCATGACGAAGAATGGTTGAAGATGTTTGGTCTTGCTTGGCTATGCCCTCTAGTGAGAGGACGGCTAACCGGAGAATCTCATTGGCTACCGACCCGAGGAAGCGCATGCTCACCTATTACAAGGAACGACGTCTAGGAGAGACTAGCATTTACCTGCTCACTGACTACATACGCCGTCGAGGTTCTAACCAATGTCGCTCAATGGCATCAAAGTAGTAGAAGTACGTTGCAGTTGGCCTTGTGGTGAAACGAACAAACAAACGACGAACGTCCACAGTTTGCAGGCCTGGCACCGGGTCCATTCGCGGGTCTGGTACTCGCTCACAATGGGGCATCCGTTATCCGTATTGATCGCCCTTCCTCAACTACCAGAGATCTACTATGTGCGGGAAAGCGGTCGATTGCGTTGGACATGAAGACTGCGAGCGGACTGCGAGTTGCGAAGGACCTCATCGCTAAGGCAGACGTTCTCATTGATCCATTCAGACCTGGAGTGCTTGAGAAGCTTGGGCTCGGTCCTGAGGTGTTTCATACAAGTGATAAGCAGGAAGGTCTGAATGACAAACTTGTATATGCAAGGCTTGCAGGGTGAGGGTACACACGAGCTTTTGAAATACCATCCAGCTGATACTCCCTCAAGGTTCCCAAGAAATAGTATGCATGTCAGGTTTATATTCTTTCTCCTTCTCAATGATTTCAAGGCAAGCACTCTACTATGGCTGGTAAGTATCATCATATACGCGTGGTTTAGTCTAAGATTCCCGTCACAGGCCATGATATCAATTATATCGCCCTTAGCGGCATTCTCTCCGTGCGGCTCGCTAAGCGCTTGTACTTTGACGAAGCATGTCTGAACTCTTCTTGCAGATGCTTCCGGGAACAATGGACAAGCCCACCTTTCCTTTGAATCTAATTGCTGACTTTGCTGGAGGCGGCCTACTTTGTGCAAATGGTATTTTGCTGGCTATTATCGAGCGAGGTAGGAGTGGCCGTGGACAAGTCGTCAATGTGGACATGGTACGTGCCGGGGCATTTACTCTCAATGATTTATCAATATAGGTATCAGGTTTCTGGTTCGCGTTATATATCGTCTTTTCCACTTCTAAGTGTTGGGAGCGATGCCTGGGCAGGACCACGAGGCACCAATGTCCTTGACGGTGGCGCGCCGTTCTACGATGTTTACACCTGCTCAGACGGAAAGTGGATGAGCATAGGGTGTCTTGAGCCCCAGTTCTTTGCGCAATTCGTTGACAAATTCAACGAGGTCATGAAATCCAGTGGAAATCAAGGAAGCTGGTCACCGCTGCGGTCGACACAATACAGAAAGGAAGATTGGCCCAAACTTCGCAAGTATCTCGAAGACGGGTTCAGAACACAACCAAGAGACTTTTGGACGGAGGTTTTCCACGGCAAGTATTACATCACAGAAGGGTTCTGCTGATTAATTTGCCATCATTAGGCACTGACGCTTGTGCAGTTCCAGTCCTGTCTCCTACGGAAGCAGCTCAGCTCCATGGATCTCCCTACCCTGTTCCTCATCCGGAGCTCAGCAGAACATCGCCATCACCTCTACAAGATGAAATCAAGATACTTGATCCAGGGAAACATAGTGTGGACATTCTCAGAGAACTCGGATTGTCTGAGGAGGACATGAGGCAGCTCGTCGCTGAGGGAGCATTGGGTAAAGAAGCACAGGAACTAGCAGAACGTTCCAAACCGAAATTATGAAAAACGAAATATAACGTCTTAAAGACCATAACTAAGCCCTAATTAATGCTGAAACTGATGAACAAGTACGCGGAGGGTATGAGCCAGACTTGTAGAATATCTATCACGCTGATGCGTCTACCCGTCTTCGTAGCTGCTGGAACGAAAAATTGGGTGGAAGAATAGTAGCTAACTGCTGCCGTATGCCTTGAACCTGTTGGAGAAACTGCCGCAACTGCATGCCATATGCCTCAGCGACAACAGCCCAGTCGTATTCCTGCCCTCCATCGTATAGCAGGGCAGGGATTTGACAGAAAACAACCTCGGTAGATATGAACTCTTTCACTCGATTAAGCCCCCAGTGGAACTCGTTCGAAAAGGGTACTGCATTTGGTCCTTTAAAGCTGAGCTTGCTGAGCGGTCTGCCCAACACTTTTCGCCCTGTGACCAATTCCTGAAGGAGGTTCATCGTAGGTGAAGGCTCGTCGTCAGGGACACCACCCGCGCCGACCACCTGCGCGCAGTACTCGTGTGTGTGCAGGGTAACAGTGCGCAACTTTGGCCACAGTGGTGGGCAGCCGTGAATGGCCGCTTGTTTATCACTGTTCACGAGCATGCGTATCAGGTAATTTGTTTTGTCGACAGGTACAAGCAGTTGGGAGACACCAGGGGTTGCGCGAAGGAAATGAATGTCCATGTCCTCGCTAAACTCGCACTTGATATACCGTAACGCCTGCAAGGACTGGAACGCATCCGGATAAGACTGTGTCATGAATCTGTGAATTGCAGATATTGCGGAGCAATTCATATCCACGAGGTAGAGGCTCTCGATATTAGGCGTGGATATCACGTCAAATATACGTATGCCCGTGGACACGGCGAGGCCATGCACCACTAATTCCCTCAATGAAGGCAAGAGGATAGGCGGAATAGGGGCTAGAATATTCAGCTCTATAGCCGATTTCACATGGAGCCTGCGGAGAAACGGGAATGCTGACATTGCTCGGAAGAGTTTTTCGCGTGTGAGCGGGAAGGGTGACCCTGGTGGTGGGCAAAAATGGAGTGTCTTTGCTTTTGTTTTGGGCAGGATGACTGCAACGCTGTCGAGCCTGACATCGGATAACAAAGGAGCTCCCTTGGTGAAGAGTTTTGCAGAAGCAATGGGACCTGCAGTCGACATTGGTCCTCTGCACATCACTCGCAGCCGTGTCAAAGCAGGGGCAGACACGCTACGAAACGTTGCAAGGAGCGACGCCAAAGCCTCTCGTGAAACTGCGTCAAGAACCAATTGTCTGAAACGGGGAAGGTGTGGTAAGATAATATTGGTCAACACGTGCTCAATCTGAGGGTGCTGTCTCCATGGCCCGATGTATACATCGAGAAATGACCCATCTGACCTCTTCAAATATTCCATGAGCGAATCCTCTTTATGCGAGAACGGGTAGTGAATAGAGGACCACAGGGAAGGCGAGGTGAGGGCTACCTCACGCCAATGACTTGATACATGCGACAGTCGTACCTCAACGGGAGACTGGTGGAGAAGGAAGAGAATGCCAGACCATTGTGGATTGAGCTGACGGCACTCCTCGAATATCATCGAAAGGACATCAGAGGGGATACATGATACCGCTGCCTTCTGATTCTGTATGCGAGCTGCACGGACCTGTAGATTGCGGATCGAGCGAGACAGCTCGTCCTGTGAAGACTGGAGTACCCGAATCTGTTGTGTTATCTCATCAAAATCTTCCTGAGTATTGCTGCTGACGCTAGCCTGGTTGTGGTTCATCGACGGCACGTCTACTATGAAATAGGTCAGCTGCTGCAAAAGATCCCATGTTGTCTGACGAGGCTCACATCGAAGAACAAAGAAGTTCAGTGATATTTTCTCGTAAACCTCCCAGGGTTAAAGGGCAGCTATAAAAACACGTTGAGAACACGTTTTCTTGAGGAGGTTAATGTCGGAGGGAACTACCTGAATCGGACAAGGTGCGGGGGTGAGCCAGCAGTAGTAGAAGTTTCAGGGATGACTGTGGCCAAGTGAATTTTCGCAATCAATCGGTGCTGGTGCGGATCCGAAATCTTGTCATGATGCCTCAGTGCGGCGGCTACGGTCTGGCCCCATCACAGTGATGCCATATGATCTAACGGAAGTGGGCGTATCGTTTCAAGTTCATCTGTTCCGGTGGCTGTGCTTTTATATGACCGTTGCCCTAGGTATGATGTGAAATCATGTCGAAGTACAGTAAATTACAGATAACGAGCAACAAAGCTGAGAATCAAGTCCCATTTAGAATGAGATAAAATCTTTCTATGGAACCTGTGCATGTGTTGAAGGGTATGCCATGACTGGAAGCCCCCGGGGATGGGTAGCTGGAGTACCGTGGGGGGCAAACTGTTGATGCTTCTTGAACATGAAAAGACGATATTGGTTTCCAATGTAGTAAGCAACAAATGCCCAATCCATTTCTGAATCCTGAACGTCGACAGAAGAAGGCAAAGATGCCGAAAAGAGTTCGGTGTGAAGATCTTCGTGCGTTTTCACGAGGAGAGTTGTGAACTCCTCATAGAATGAACGAGCGTGCGGGCCCTCGATCCGAAGAAGGTCAAGAGGCCTGCCCACCGCTCTCCTCTCCTGCACTACCTCCAATAGTAGTCCCATCGTTGGGGGCGGGTCATCTTCTTCGTCGGAGTCCACATCCTCTCTTTCTCGGTCCAAAGGCTTGGAAACGTGAAGAGTCAAAGTATGGAGATTGCGCCACAATGGAGGGACCCCATGAAGGGCAGCTTGTCTATCGCTATTCAGCAGAAGTCGCAGGAGATGAGTGTGGTGCTTGACAGACACAGCAAGTTCAGTGAGAGCAGATGTTGCATGGGGCAGGTAAACGTCGAGATCATCGTCAATATCGCAGTTTATGTATCGTAATGTGCGGAGATGTTGGAAGTGTTCTGGAGATGTCCTGGTAATAAATTTGTGGATTGAAGACAAGCCCTGTCGTCTAACATTGACAAGGGACAAGGTTGTAATGGCAGGGGTGGAGATGTTGCGGAAAACGTTGAATCCGTGGTTCAGAGTATTGCCGTATACTAATAACTCCTTCAGCGCAGGCAGTTCAACAGGTGCGCTACCAGGCTCCTGGTGAAATCCGCTAATGAACCCTTTCAAATGTAGGATGGTAAGGGTGGCTGATAGGGGAGCAAGAATGTCGAGGAAAGCAAGTCTGGACAAAGGATTTCCGGGTCCAGGTTGCGGTTCAAGATGCAGGGTGGTTGCAGAACACTGGGGCAGTCCGACTGAAAGAGCGCTAAGGCGTATATCAGACAAGAGCGGTGCTCCTGCTTTGAAAATATCGAGGCGGGGAACAACACCAGAAGCGCCCCGGGTATCATTGCAACAGATCTTCAGTCTTCTGAGGGTCGAAGCAGGTGCGTCTGCAAACAAGGGAAACAATGCATAAAGTTCCTGGAGCTCGTCGGTGTCGAAAGTGAGCTCGCGAATCTGATTCAGTCGGGATACAAATTGCGCGGCAATAAAGCGCAGAGAATCTGGGTCAGAAATTCTCGGGCCTATGTGAACATGGAGGGGCGCTTGATTGCACCGCTGGAGATATGCCATAGCAGCAGCCTCTTTGTGCAAAATCGGGAACCTGATGGTTGTCCACAAAGCAGGGGTTGAAAGTGCCACTTCCCGCCATCTAGATGAAACGTGGGACAGCTGCACCTCGGGAGAGAGTGGGCGCTTTACTATATTACTCCAAGGTATGAGTGGTCGCCGGCTCTCCTCGAAGATGATGGCAAGCACGTCTGATGGAAGACGAGATACAGGAGCAGTCTTGTTCGTAATATGAGCAGCACGACTTTGAAGAGTGCGTATGGTGGTGTGGACTTGAAAGGCTTCAAACGTTAGGGCATGCTTCCTCTCTTGTAGGGCGTTAATTCGTTTATTAAGGTCGTCCAGCTCTCTCTGGGAATCATCGTCAAGAAAAGAGACTGAGCTCGTTGAACTCATGATTTCTGAGAAGCCCCATCATCCATCAGTTGCTTTACGGATACCAGCAGGCCAGAAGGCTACTGACGGATGTTTTGCGCAAAAACAATAAGCAGCTTGCTGCTGACTTGCAGTGATTGCCGGGGTCAACTTTGTGTGGTGTAATTGTCGTCAGACAGATCAGAAAATAACAGACACTAAAGTATACAGTACCTTGGCCGGTAGCACAACGTCGCGAGAGGCTATGTCCACGATGGCAGCTGATGGCACAAGATGAGAAGCGAGAATGGGTAATCAGTTTGGTTCATCGCATTCACATGCTCCGAGCCGGCTCGCTTTACCGAATTGGACAAACACGTGAAATTGACTATGCCGTATAAGATGGTGTGTGACAGTTCTGACAGGGTCTTCTACTCAAGACTTATCTGCTCCCATGGCCGCCAAAGAACTGAAACAATTCACTCTAGAGGAGGTTGCTGAGGTGCGTCGAAAGTCCAAGACCCTGAGATACTACTTGCTGAGACCGTTGCGGAGATGTAGCATAACAAGCCAGATGACTTGGTATGTATTAAGTGTCTTGAACTGCTACTGATCCGAACAGTCATCATTTTAGTGGGTGGTCATCGACGCAAAGGTTTATAATCTGTCCCGATTCAAAGACTTGCATCCTGGAGGGATCTCTGTCTTGACGGATGGGGAAATTGGTATGATGCCTTCCGTGATAGCCATGCATGACAGTTTCAAACGGAATTCGTTCTTCAGCTGGCCAGGATGCCACGGAGGCGTTCTACGGCTTGCATCGTCATGAAGTTTTGGAGCGACCTCAATACCAACGCCTTCAGATTGGTACTATTCAAGGCGAACAACCTGTCATATACAGCCGAATTGTCGGAGAACTCAGCGATGTCCCGTACGCAGAGCCAACCTGGCTGTCACAAGGGTATCACAGCCCTTACTACACCGACGTGAGTTGCCACAGTCGTTTTCTGACTCTTCTCTGAACTTTTACACAGAACCATAGAACATTCCAACAGGCCATACGTCGCTTTGCTGACGAGTTCATTTATGAGGATGCACAAGTGAGACATCAGGATTTCTTTCATCACCCGTGCCTGATTCAATTTCCGTGATAGGCTCGCGAAGAGGACGGCAAGCGACCCAGCCAAAGCGTAATCGACCAGATGGCGTATGTTAATCTACTTTTCAGCGTTCATGTTCTTATTTCTGTATAGTGCGGTGAACTTGCACGCAATGCGTATGGGTCCAGGAAAGCACCTTCAAGGGTTATCCTTGATGAATGGTCTCGTGAAACCTGAGGAGGTAAGTGCAACCATACCTACCCTGAATTCTTCGTCTCGTCCTAACCTGGCTGTTTTCATAGTTTAACTATTTCCACGAACTCATTATTACTCAAGAAATTGCACGATGTGGTGCACGAGGATATGGAGATGGTAAGTGTTACTCACGTAGGCGGCGGCGCCTGCTCAATATGCATAGGTTTAATGGGAGGGAAGGTGATTGGACTGCCACCGGTCCTTAATTTTGGCTCGGAAGCACTGAAGGCTCGCGTTGTGCCTGAAGTCTTCGCCGGCAGGAAGTTCATTTGCCTCGCCATTTCGGAGGCCCAGGCTGGAAGCGATGTCATGGGTTTACAAACGACTGCAGTCAAAACCGAGGATGGCAAGGAATGGATTGTAAATGGAACCAAGAAATGGATCACCAATGCTACGTGAGTAACCAAGGATCGTCCTGAATTACTAATCAACGCATTTTGCATAGTTTCGCAGACTAGTGGGTATGATTACCAACTCTCAGCGGCAAATTTAAACGTCCTTTTTAGCTTCACTGTAGGCTGCAAGACTGAGGATGGTCTCACTGTCATTCTTATCGAGCGCGGACCTGGCGTAGAAACGCGGCAAATCAAAACAAGCTATTCAACAACGGCAGGCACAGCCTACATTACCTTCGACAACGTTCGAGTCCCTATTGAGAACACCCTTGGTGAGGAAGGTAGAGGAATTTTTGTCATTTTGAGGTATGTAACAATGGTGTGTGATGTGAGACTTGAGCTCGAATACTCATTTCCGTCGTAGCAACTTCAACCACGAACGATGGGTCATGTGTTGTAGTTCCGCTCGCAGCCAGCGTAGTATTGTTGAGGAGTGTCTGAAGTATGTCGAATCCATCATCTTGTATTCCCTTCTTACAGTGAATCCAGATGGGCGACTCAACGGAAGGCTTTTGGGAAGCCCTTGATATCACAAGCTGTAATTCGCTCCAAACTTGCCGCAATGATAGCACGGACGGAGAGTGTACAGAGTTGGCTGGAAAACATCACCTACCAGATGTGTCATATGGTAAGAACAAGTTCGCCACTCTCAATCTCCTGCCGCATACTTACGAGATGTTTAGACATACAAACAACAATCCCAGAAGCTCGCCGGGTAGGTGGTGGATATGTGCTCTGTGTAACTGCCACTGATGCTGATGATTTGTTTCTCCTTAGTCAAATCGCCTTTTTGAAGAGCTATAGCACGCGGTGCGCACAGGAGACCGCAAAAGATGCCGTTCAGATATTTGGTGGCCGTGGTATTACACGGACAGGCATGGGGAGGTTCATCGAACACGTAAGTCAAACTTTCCAGCGATTATCATTATCTTACTAGCGCCTTTGCAGTATCATCGCACCGTGACTTTCGATGCATTGTTGGGAGGTGGTAAGTTCCTTTCATGGGTTTATACATGAAAGCACTTGCTTATGTTCCCTAGCGGAGGACGTCCTTTCTGATCTTGGTGTTCGACAAGCCATGAGGGCCATGCCAAAGAATGCCCGGCTTTGATAATTCACGTTGTATTGCACTTCACTTAATATTTATAGCAAAACTAGCATAGATACTGTATTTTTTTGCATAACTCGTCGAATCACTAAGGAGGACGGACTATCATCGGAAGGGTGGTTGACTAGGATTCCAATGGGGTGTCCTCTTTCTTATCAGCATTGATATGATGACCCGTACCAGCGTGGATTGCATAGGCGTGCAACTGAGACACCAGTGGACGCGGGGGATTCCAAGAATACAATTTTAATTCTAATACAGAACTGCATGTCATGCCTCGAAGCCTACAGCATAATACACGAGAGCAAAACGCAAAAGCAAAGAACAGTACCACATACTATAACAACATAGCACTGAAACGATACAGAAAGTACGGCGAAGATGCTCATGTCATCGAACCAAAGTGTGGCTCGTACATTGAATAATCTTGGCTTACAGAAGTGTATGACATTTGATTCATCCATTGGAAACCTGCATTCAATGGGTGTGGTTAGCAAAAACGAACTTCGATACTGATAGTGTCAGGCGTACCAGGGACTAGGGTATTATGCCACAAAGGATCAGTCATGATCTGTGCCGACTCTAAAAGATCGGCATCCAAAGTGATCGGTAACGGGTCATGGAACATTTCAGATGATGTCGTGTTGTTTTGCAGCTGGGCTCCCGAAAAGCTTTCCACACCTGTGTACGTGTATGAAGGAGAAGGAGAACCGGAGTTGGCAGAGGATGGAGATGGATAGTCAGCAGATGTAGAGATATCTGCGACTAGACCACCACGAGTCTTGGTAGGCGTGATCTTCGACTTACGCGCTCGTTTGTGGCTACCGGGGCTAGTCAAGGCTGGTGTCAGGTCGACCCTGACTGCAGGACTAGCAAGTAGGCCGGCCAGGAAACGAGAGTATATGGAAGGTCCGTGCTTCTCGTCAAGAGCTACGTCCGCCGCCCCGAGGAGATCAACTGTTTTTTGCACGAGGTCCCGAATTTCTACCCGTTTCTCATACGGAAAGTACTGCGCGTACTTGAGTTGCAAAAGCTGTGCGGAAAATGTTACGTACTGAAAAGTGAGCATAGTAAGGAACGTACTTTAACGAGGAAGGCGCCAGCAAAAGTAACAAATACATATTGCGATTCGGGTGCGTGGCGTAGAAGAACTCCTGTCGGCCAGTGAGATAAGATGATAGGATCCATGAAATACACAACTTACTATCTTCTTCGGTAGTGTACAATCGGTGAACAAAAGCATGGATGACGTCGGATGCCCTCGTAAAACACTGGAAGGAATGAGACAACGAAAATGAGAAGAAATCACGAGTAAAGACTGACCCTCATTAAAAATGAATTTTCATCCAAGTGGTCTTCTTTGGCATGCTGCAAGCCAGAAGAAAGGACGACTAAACGGGCATAGCTGAAAACCATTTTCAAAAGACCAGTGCGGAAAATAAACATGGCGCTCTTCGGTTCGATGCTATCTAGTTGATGAAACCAACGTGCGCCGACGCTAGCCAGTTCGTCATCGGTTTCACTAGCAATCTGAGTGAAATTGGTAGACTTCAAATCTGTCAGTTTTGGCGAAGGGATCGTGGGAACAAACGAACACGTACCTTGTTGAGTCCGGTAGGGTGGTTTGGATCGCTGCGAATCTTCTCCATGAATTTTGCGCCAATATTGAGCTCCATGGAGTAGATACAGATGTGAATGTCGAAGTCCTCGACATTATACTTGGAGGAGCCCCACCAATCGTGCAAATGATTTGCAATATAGTCAGAATTAGGAATAATGGGCGCTTTGCCGTACTGAGACCCTGTTGACCGATCCAAGTTGAAGCAGTTGATCCAGACACGCGTGCGATTGAGGAGTACACGAGCGTGGTGCTCATTCAGGGGTGTTGTGGCTGTAGGCCTATTCAGGTTGAGGTCCTGGGCCAGTCTAGAACAACGTAAAAAGATGCCGTGAGACATAGCGGAAAGAGATCCCTACCGAATTGCGACACCAAGGTACACCCAGCTGCGATCCTCTTCCCAGCGTCGTGAGGGAACAGGATAAAGCTGTAGTAGTAGGTAAGCAAGACACATCTCCTCGTTCTTGGGACCGGTGATAAGCGCAGTGCCCGCCGCGAGCTGTGCGTAGCGCATTACTTCCGCGTATAGACCTGGACGTTGAGTGTAGAACCGAGAAGCGACAGCACACACTGAGCACAAAAGTCAACACGAGAAGAGAATGCAACTCAGATCGGCTCACCGACAGTGAAGAGGAAAGGGCTTCTCATAACCACGTACTGTGGAGTATGAAGAACGGGGTCCATCAATGATGTTGACGGGTTCATTTTATCAAAGTATCTGAGCATTTTTAACAAGGAATCGTACACACGAAGATATTAAAACTCACAGTTTGAACAGATTCTCGACGTCTTCTAGAGTAACAATCTCGCGAGTGAGAATGTGAGGAAGATGCTGACTACTAATTGAAAGATTCGACCGGACAGGGTCGGGAGCAGGAGCTAGAAAAGATAAGGACCTGAGGAGGCATATACCGAAGCAAAGCATGTACTTACATGGTCTGAAAAAGTCAGCGTTCGCTACACCAACAGCGTCCTGAGGTTCTGGTTCCGCACTCTTTCCTCTAGCACGGTTGGCCATGTGGGCCATCAAACCAAATGGACTATCTGCGTGGGGGAGCATGCCCAACTTCATATCAGCAAGCTCCTTTTTGGCTAGCGCAGTTGGCGAGTGCCTTTCCCTTGACTGTGAGCGACGGCTGCGTCCACCTTCCTCTGCAGTGGCATATCCATTACCTTCGTCATCGGTGTCGTCATCTTCGACATCAAAGCTATGCACTTCCTCGTCGCTATCAGACTTTCCAGAGTCTTCATCAAGGAGCATGGAATTCGTTGTACCGCCAAGGGCAATTAAGCCACCAAAGGTGTCGATCGAGGCACGGGCTTTTGCAAGCCAATCCTGCACTTCCGGTTTGGGTGGAGCGGAATCTGCCGGGGTGTTAGGATCGAGGGTAGGAGAATGAAGATCGATGGAGGACGATGGGGATATTGGTATCGTAGTGGTCGAAGAACTGCTAGCTGAGGCCGGTGCAACTTGTCGGTTGGTAACATCGAGCTGAGCCATAAGCTCCTGAATTTGAGCGGCTTGTTCACGAATCTGGTTCAAAAGGTGTTCTCGTTTCCTAATGCAATATCTTAACTTGCTCAGGTGAAAAGCAAGTGAGCACGTACGGTGGGGTTCGGCGTGGTTTGCGTCCTGGAATGACACATTCCTGACCGGCACTTGTGCACCTTTTGCAGGTGTCATTATCGCCCCTGAATTCACATCGGACCTATGGTGGACGTGTCTTGTTATCTAAAATAATGTTGAATCATATACCCACGTACCTTCAGGCTTTTGCATCGACCACAAGCACCTGTTCTGTGATGTGTTAGTTTGGATATCATAGCGGAATTAACTGGAGAGCGCACGGTTTCCGTTTGTCCGCAGGCTCTAGCAGTTCATGTGGGTCAGGTACCACAGTTCGAGTATGGTGGCCGTCGTCGTCGCTTCTATGGCGTTTTGATTGCTGGGCCATAGTTGCGTGCATACTGTCTATGATCTGCGACTGGATCTCAGATTGGCGAATAGGTAGTTGGTGAGTGTAAGGGAACTGCATAGGAAACCCAGGAGCCGAAGAGGCGACGGATGTTGCGGAAAGTTGGTTGTGCGCGCTCGGAACACTTGAAGCGTTCATTCCTGATTGGAATGCGGTCTGATATCCGGGACGAGTAGAATTAGCATTATAATCTGGTGGAGCGAATGTGAATGTGGTCGAGACGGGATTCAATGATTGATTTGGGTTCGAAGTCATATTAGGTGATGTTGCAAAGGAAGGAGAGGGCTGTTGGTAGACAGAAGCTGAATCATATTGATTTGACGCATTTGAATTGTATTGAGATAAAGAACCGTTAAGAAGGCGTTGAGCACCAGAATGCCTCTGTGATTGTAGAAACATTTGGGGGGTATCTTGAGCTGTGAGGAGATACGGGTCCTCATCTTCAAGTAACAGGTGGTGTTGGCTCGTAGCGAGTCGGTTGCGATGATCCCAAAAAGAGGCGTTAGGGCTCATATCGTGAACAGAATTAGACATCGTTGACGATAACTGTCAAATAGCCACGGAATGACTGTGCTCAGGTCGACGAGCTCAACCGGACGTAATGCACGGATCGAAGAGATGAGCCCTTGTAAAGAACACGGGGTACTTTTAAAGGATTATACTAATAAGTAAAAAGCACATGAGAATTGAAGCCACCGTTATGGGAGAGTGAACTCACGGCTAAATGGCAAGTCGGGACTCGGCAGTAGGCGGACCGTTGTTGTATGGTCTACAACTAGTAGTGAGTTAGCCCTTGAATCAACAATGCCAGTGAAGACTGCAACTTGAGTGACCACCCGCAGACGTTTGTTTATATTCAAGATCATTCAATGAGCCCTCCCTTGCAAAGCAGTGTTCCGTGGCTGTGCTAGGTCACTTTGAAGTTCAAATTAAATTGATTCACTGCTTTTCGGTTGCTTTCGCAACCACTGGTTGACCTCACTTTTGGCCTCTGCGCCGCCACGGATAATCCATTGGGCGATCGAAGTCGTATAGCTTGCTTGTCAGGTACTCTTCCCCGATCAGCCTCCGTTTTCCGGTGCAGCGCTCTCCGTACTCGCCGACTCCTTCAACCCGTCTCAGAGCATCGCGATTCAAGAATTTGAAACACAAGTACCTCATGATTTAACGTATCTGTTGGTTGGCTGTGCCATCAAAGTTGAAAGCGCTCGGGCCCCATGGTGTCGTACTTGTTTTTGAAGAACAAGTATACATACTCTGATTCATAGCATTTACTTGCTTTTCCACAGTTTACTTTGGCGCAATACAAAGCCCGAGTCCAAGCACCACGGTTACTCTCGAAGGTCCAAGTAAAGTCAGTTGCTTTGCATGACACAAACACGCTTCCCCGTTTCGTGTGTGGCACTTGTCATAATTTTGGCTCATACAGTATTTTCAACAATAGTCCACAAGGTATGTTCATGGTTGAAATTTTACACTTGTGGACTGCTACTACTATACCGCCCATTGTCAATTGCTTGCTCTCAACGACGCCACTCTCCACACCTGTGGGTTATAAAATGGCCCGTTAACGAACGCATGATACCTCACACCCAATGATGCAATCTTCACTCTCCCAAAATAACGCTGGTGGCAGTGTTGGAGCTTCTCCAACAATTTTCGTACGCCTAACCTTCAAGTTGCATTCTTGCGCCGACTAACCGTCCCGAATAGAAAACTCTGCGACTTCTCTCCGGTCGTTATCTCCACATGATTTGGTCAGGCTCTGCTACCATGCATGAGGACGAAATCGATGACGATATTACTACTGCAGGTGACGAAAGGTACGTTTTTGTCACACACGGCGTCTTTTACTGATGACTGTCACCTAAAAAGAAAATACAATGACAATTGCTCCGTCGGAGGCGAAACACTGGAAATTATTTCCGCCCCTCAAGGTTCAGGTGAGCTGCTGCGTAGATCTAAATTTGAGCACCTTCGCTGATCAGGCTTTTCGGATACACCCGTAGGAGAAACTCCGTCTGACATCCGCTCCAAGCAGGATCCTGACATTGATGCTTCTGAAGGAGAAACTCCGGCCGGCATCCGCACCCGGCAGGATTCTGATATTGATGCCTCCGAAGGAGAGACAGCATTCCAGCGCTCGCAGTCTCCTGTGACTGCGGCACTCGCAGCGTTGGCCAGACACTGTCCACCGCAACTTGGACTGAAAACAAAGGCAAAACGACAGTATAGCTCCCTGGAACAGGAAGATTCTCCAAAGATAGCCAGGAAACGGCGTCAGCTTACAGGTCTGGGCCGTCCGCGACAAAACGATGTATTGCTCGCGTGGCTCACTCATGGTTTGGCACCTTCCGATGTGCGTCCTGATGGATATGCCCAGGACCAAAAAATCGATGAAGATCCGTGCAACTCCAAAGTAGGAAACACCTCCCCGAAGTCTGTCTCTCATGTATCTGTCAAACAACGAGGAACTGCACATCAGATCCCTCTCACGTCCATACAAGAGGGACGACGGTCTTGCTGGATTACTCGCCCTTTGCGTACGACTCGGACATTTGACACCTCGGCTCAGGGGGATCTGCATCCTCCAACTTCCCCACCCGATAACAGCCAAACACCCCCGATCCCTGCAGTACGATTCCCCAGTGCGTACCCATCATACTTTGCGAATCCCCAACGTCAACCTAGCGTTATCCGTTGGAAGCTGCCTTGATTGCCTATCGCCCAGCATTAGCGACGTAAAAAATTGTAGATATTTTCATGCCAAGCCACCGATGACATGCGCCACGACCAATATTTGGTTGACAGATTCCGTTAGCAACGATTCGTTATCAATAGATAGTATCAACCATGCGGATGCCCTCATCCGGCATTCATAGCAGAGTGCGACCACAATTTGCGGTATTCTTTGGTGACCGAGCTACTCGTGCCTTGCGGAACTAGAACTGTACCTTGTATACAAAATAAACTTCTAGTGTCATTCTGGCGTGTTTGGTGAAGAACATCAGTACATCTTTCAGCATTCAATACGAGTATCGATTTTCAGCCCGGGTCGGTATACGTCTGAACAGTGAACAACAATCCGCTGGTCTGCAGCTTACGTAGCACTACCGAATATTTGATACCGTCTGCAAATGCTCGGGCCGATTTCATCGTACTGCGCCTTTGTGTGGCAAGACGTGTAGAACTCGGGCTGAGATGATGGTTAAAATTTGATGAAATTTGGCTTGAAACAATCCTTACCAATGATGCAAGCAAGGAGCCACCAAACCACACGGCATATCTTGAGAGGAAGTTAGTTATGGTGTGGAATATATTAAGAACATGATTCTCACCGTTGGCGCTTGTGCGAAATTACATCCACATCCACACCAGATGACTATTGTTTCATTAGGAAATGGAGGAAGCAAAATTGTTGGACGCCGACCTTGGTAGTACTGCCACTTGAAACGACGCTAGCCTCAAGTCGGCGATCAACCAGCTGCTTTAGGTCTCTCTTAAGACGCTGACCAAAGTGCTGGAACATGGTTGAACCTCCAGAGAGAACTATATTCTGCATAGTCCTAGTTAAAATGCAGACCAAATGAAGAGCCGAGGAGACCGGTCACCTTGTATAAGCCGCGACGAACATCAATCGGAGAGGCTTGAATCACATCATCAACAATGTCCGGGAGAGGTGTAAGGAAGTCGGAAGAGTAGATCTCCGGGTTGAAGAAGATCTCCGGGGCCAGGAAGCGTTCATAGCCCACATCAATGGAATATTTCTAGTGAAAACGACGTGCATTCAATAACTGGTGAAACACGTTCGAAAATGGAAACCAACTCTGCCGGTGACACTATGCTCACCCTCATATCTCTCAAAGTATTTGTAGGGTTCCGCGTCGTATTTCCGAAACTCTTTGACTATGTCCTGGCACGTGTAGCTGTAGTTTTCCTTCACTCTGCTGGCAACCCGCAGCTGGTCTTCTGGTGGAACGGCAGCCATTTCACCACGCTCACGCAATAAGTTGAGCACGAATTGTGATATATCACGACCAGCGATGGGGATGTGTTTAATGGCACTTCCAATGACGTACCCTTCCGCGCAAGGGATGACGTGCGTGACACCATCTCCTGAATCAATGACGGTGCCAGTGAGTGTCCTGTCTGTGGCACGGTTGGATGTCCAGGATGCAGCAAGGGCGAGCACAGCCTGTACAGCGATGTAGAGACCTTTGATATTGAACGACTCAAAGAAGATTTCGGCTGTCTGCTCTCTGTTTTCTGGAGGGTTAAGTGGAGGTTCAGTCTACAAGAGGCGATAATCAGGATTTTTGGAACGTGCGATACATTGAAATGATGTCATACCAAAAGGAAGTAATGATCTTCTGGTTCAGCCCGTAAATACTTGAATATAGTTTGTTCCCAGTATCGTTCCATGTGATCCCAGTTGTCGATCATGCCATGGCGAATGGGATAGTGAACTCCATAACCAGGGGTCTTCGCATTGGCAAGGGCTTCGTCTCCAATGAAGAAGTCGAGGTCTTCAACACCGCGTTTCGATGCGACATTTCCAGGTTTTGAAGGAATTGGAGGACCACCACGAGTAGGTTGAGAAGCAGGCCCGCGTGTAGCAATTGCAGTGGGAAAAACGCTGGAGTCATACAAACCGCGTCTGAGAGGTGCGATCTTGTATGGGATGGTGAGACTCACTATGATGGATCGGAATTTCCTGCGAAGCTGCGATCGACCTTGAGTGAGTGCATCAGAGTTGATCGTTTCGTGCTTACCCTATCTTTGAGTATCCGGTTCCATTGTCGCAGATGATAGGTGCGAGGACTGACATCCTTAGAAATAAGTCTTTATCGAGTCCCTGTCAAGTCACTGAGGTTGCTGCGATTCCTATTTGTCTTTGTGTGGCAAAGCCTTCGTTCCTAACGTGTCCAAATAACCCACTAAGCTGCAAAACGTGATTTGACGATGCTACATCAAAATAGTTCAACTACTAGGGTAGATGGGGTGACATGCTGCAGGCCCCTGGGTACAAGCTGTGAAAATTGATGATGCCAGATGCATGTCGGTCTGAACATGCAAAAGTGCTGTGCAGTACAACTCTGCCAAAGATAGTGGTAAATGGAATCAGGAAACGTAATTCATTACAGAATGCTACAGAGCGCTCTGTAGAATTTTGTAGCACAATCCAACCCGCTGATGCGGCCAGTCATCTGAGGTCTTGTCAAGCTTAACCGTTTGAGCACAAAAAAAAGTTCGGTAATTTGTTGTTGAGCAAGCTCGGTCAATCACGGTTCGGTAACCTACAAAACGTAAGTATGGAAATATCACTGCCGCCAACTTGAACCGCCATTTCCTTCTGACAACCTATTGGTGACCTGCCGACTTCGTATGCAGTGTTTATAGAACATTCCATTCCTGGACCCGGGCCTCGACTTGGCATCATCAAGCCTTCACATTGACTCCCGCGCTCTTATCGTTCTCAATTCTGAAGGACCCTGTGGGACGCCCGCGAGTGGTGTTCTTGGCATTGCGCGGATGAAGGCACCAATTGTGTGCGTGACATCCAGTAGTTCTGATATTCGACCCTGCAGTGCAGACAACTTCTCTGGTGTTGCTCCTGTCTAGGAGTGATCCTTTGAATTGCGAAAGTGCCAGAATTATTTTTTGGAATAAATCTATACCGAAATGACAAGTTTGCATGGCAAAGGCAAACAAAACATCTTACCTGATAGCAGCACTAATAGCACTGCATGATTTCAGCGTTAGTGCAGATACAACGGGAAATTCGTAGCCAGCCGCCAAAGTTTTTGAGCAACCGGCACTTACTGTACTAGCTAGTGCAATCTAAACTGGTCGGAGTGATAGGTGGCAATAATGCGTGATCCCTGCCACCGGTACTGATGCCGGTAGCCTTCATTTTCCACGGAAGCCGACCAGAAGCCGAAGGTTCGTCTTTACGGGGGCAGAATGTGCATGTTCAATTGTCCAACATTGATTTCGCTATAAGTCGCCACGGTGACTGGTTTATGGATGAAAAAATGGTATATGGGACTGTCGAATCTGACTAGGCCCGGCCGAAATTGGCAACTTGAATCAGATGATGATAAGTTCATCATAAACCTTTGACATCAGCAAGCGGTGGCCTAGTAGTAGATAGAGCTCGTTGGACCAGAGGCTATTGTCGTAGATTTGATCAATGACAGTAGGTGACAGTCAACAGCTATGGCCACTGTATGTTGTGGTCCAGGCATTAATCTGGCCGTTGAGATTTTGTATGCCTTCTTTCATTAATAAATCAAGTGTCTCGAAAATTCGATACATACTTCCTGATCAGGCGCACAGCACCAAGTTGTGAAGTCCCCTGGAGCTCAGGCACGTCAAGAACAACGGGAAAGAGGATTTGAGTCCTTGGGAGGAACAATAAAATGGCAAATTGAAATTGAAGCTTGTGGAGAGCTTTAATTTTGAATAATTTAAAGATAACTTCTTGAAAATATATTCTTATTTCAGCTTCCCTGGAAACGAACTTTACTTATTAATTGGTATGGCAGCTCAGCGCTCATCGCATCATTTCCAGGGAACAAGATCATCGTCTCATATGAGTGTTCTCAAATATCTTAGGTGATTTTCTTTCTACTTTTGCCTTGTGAATCTGCCCGCGATTCTTATAGGCTTACGCTGGCTCGGTGCGTTTGTTCTCTCTGATCCAGGTCTCTTCGAGTCAACCACTCACGTCCTTATTTTATAGTTGAGTAGGGGGTGTCGACGTCGAATCACACGTTCAACTTGGGCTCTTCCATATTTTGTAGCTGTAGCCTGCTCACATTCTTTCTTTATCACGATCTTTTTTCGAGCACTCGTTATCGACACCCTCCCAATCTACTCTGTTGTACTGGAAAAATCTCCGGAATCTCTTTCAGCTTCAATTGCTTGCAATGGCTCCATATCTCCTTTCAAGATCCGACCCCAACGATGCTCCAGGCGTCATTCCTATCAGCAGAACCATTTATATAGTCGGATTCACCCTCGCTGGCTTACTTGCTGCTACTTCTCTATTGTGGCTTGCATTGAGGTTCTTCCGCCGCAAATTGCAGGCAAGGCGTGCAGAAGAACGGAATGCAGCTTTCCTCAATGTACAAGGTGTTGTTCGAGAAATGAACGAGCCTGTCAGTCAGTTCCTGTAAGAATCAATATTTCACCCCGTAAATATAGGTCTCCTAACTTTGTCAAACAGCAGTCATTCGACGACTGTTGTTTTCCCACAAAAGGCCGTTGTCCCTGCTCAAATAGCAAGACCTTCAAGACACGACCATGTTTCTTCCTCTGAAGTTCCTGCAGCATGTGCTGCTCCCTTGCCACGTCCCCGCGCACTCTCTAGTCTCAATCCCTCGCATCCGCGCCAAAGTCGTACTTCGTCAGTTTCTTTGGGTAATTTTCGTTCATCCACTCGACTTCCTTCTGGCTTGCGTTCCTCACATTCACAAGAATCTTCACGATCATCGGCTTCCCATCAAGCCCGATCCGTTCGGCAATTCTTCCAACCAGTGCTTCCTGATGAACTCCCTCTTTCGCGTTCAGGAGAGCAACTCCACATTCTGCAGTCGTTTGATGACGGCTGGTGCCTCGTTGTGCAAAACAACTCTCTTCGCTCTCGTTCTTCATTATCCATATTCAATCCTTCACGACTCTCTGCCAGGGTGGAGAGTAGCGGAGACAATGTACAGCTTGGTTTTGTCCCGGCATGGGTCTTCGTCAAGCCGACGAAGGGACTGAGCGTAGAAAGACCTATTCGCAGCTCCAGTGCAGGGATGCTCCAGGCTGGCTTGGATGCTCCCGAATCGAGAGAGACTGTGATTTCTTGGTCCAACTTTGCTTGAATCAAAGTTGAAAGCCCCGATGCGTGCATACATCGAAGTCTAGTTTTCCCTTGTTCACCCATATTTGGCAGCCGCGCCGGCCGTTTGACACCATGTCGCATGAAACCTGCGGTGCAAGTATGCTTCACTTATAGTTCATTCTTCACGATACAACTGCATTGTATACCCTCATTAGGTGTTGTATCCAATACATATACCAATATTTGCATTCCAGCAGGAAAACACGTCTGTGACCTCGGGAGGCCTAGGACTATCAGGGAAAAAGGTATATCCAGATGACTCAACTCCACGAAAGATGTAGTTCATACGCGTGAGGGCCCGTCGGGATCAAAATTGATACGGCGGGAGGCGCCTGACGCACTTCGGTTGAGGCCTCTTCCATTCCTCCATCGGCGTCTCAATGGAGGAAAAAGCATCTGCAATCGCTGAGCCTTCTGGTGGATGCCCGACTTGATCAGCAAGATGATTTACTTCTGCTGGTGCATCAGTAGTGTTCTGCGGGTCCTGCGGAGGTTGACGTGGCGTGGGGGCATTAAGGGGCCAGGTAGGAAGATAACATATTTCCTGCAAGTAGATTATGCTTAGTCCGGTGGGCTAGGCAGGAAATTATTTGGATCCCACCTCTGGGCCGCAGGCAGGTCGGCATTTAATCCATATACTCCAGTCTAACCAAGACATCAGCTTTTGGGTGTCTTGTCTCCAGTCATTCATTATTTGAGCGACATCAGGCTCCCCATCAAGTTCAATGGGGAAAAGAGTGTCGAACCCGCTCGTGACACCAACGGCCCACATCTTCGTAGTGACACGACAGATTTCTCTCATTATGTCCTCGATGGCCTTGAGCAACAGGCGTTCTGAAGGCGTCATTAAGGGTACTTGATATGTCATCGCGGTAGTATGTGTTGTGGCACATAGCCTGAACATTGGGGATGCCCACTGCAATGGATGTAGGCCCGGAGTATCTGCGCTAGGGACAACGGTAGCATCTAATAGATATGGCGCGAGCATAACGCGGAGCTGGGTCTGCACGAGCTTTGCTCGCTGAAGGAGTTCTTGCGAGTCTGATGAGGTGAAATTGAGAAGATGCCGCACGAGCTCGAGCCGATCCGCATATCGATCAACGATGACGTGGGTGAGGGCCTTCCAGTCTATTCCGCTGCCCGGGTCTGGTCGACTGATGACTTCGGTGAGCTTTCTCATCAGCTGCGATATGTCTTCTGATGAGATTCCGAGCACCCGGTGGTCTTGCCGTTCAAGCCCCGCGCGAACCGGGACGAGGGAAGGTGCCAATGCGATATCGTACAGTGAGACAAGACCAGCCAGGTCGAGCACAATGCGAGATTCTCCCGGGTGGTGATTGTGCCATGAGCCGGAGTGCATGGCTTCAACTATGCGATTCCCTGAGCTCAGGAACAAATGACGTCAGTCGTATTGGAACACAAGAACAAAACACTAACAGATATCAGGACCGGGTGCGGGAACAGGGCGATTCGGAGGGAACCCGTTTGTGTCCTTCCATAAGACCCGAACATGCAGGAAAGATACTACTTCGACACCGGCCGTAAAATCACACAACATAACTTCACTAGAAGTTCATCAGTCGAAAGTGCGACACAGAGTAAGAGCACGCGCACAAGTCCATTTCCATCCTAGAAATCTGAGAATCAGTTATATACCGTAGCGAGATGACTCGCTAACCTCGCGAAACCGTCGATTCCGAACTCCTTTCCCCACCTACAGAGATCTGTAATCCGTGAATCTTCATCCAAGATGCGCTCAGGTTGCACTTCTCCCCAGGCTATTATATCCTGTATATCCATTGTACCCTCAGGTACCTTAGCAGCACTACTTCCATCAAAGTACAAAACTTTCAGAGGTCGCGTTGCTGCCAGCGTGAGGTGCCAGCCAACCCCATCTCCAAGAGCAAAACAAAGAGAATGTTCTGGGTCTGTAGAGGTCCACTCAGGCTCACTGGGTATCGCATTGCGGGTGGTGCCGTGATACAGTAAAGTACCTATTGGAATTGTTCCTGGTATTATGTTATGTCCTATAAAAGGATGAAACACTTGTCCTGCATTAGCAAAGCAGCGGACAGGGATACGTACCATTACGATATCGAGTGTTTGGCCAGTGTTGTAAGAGTGAGTGGACCGTGTCGAAGATCAAGTTCCCTGTCGCGTTCTCGGCAGGACCTTCGTCAAGACTCCATTGCTCGATGTTCGAACCGAAACCAAATGAATGTAGTTCATCATTGTTCGAGTTGGCGATATTCAAGGGTCGACCGCCAGCTTCTCCAGTAGTGCTGACGGGAAATTGTTGGGTATGGAGAGCTAGAACTGCTGACCCGAGACTCATAGCTACCGCAAGGGAGTGATAACGCATTGCGAGAACTGTCAGAGAAATATTGATGTTATCGTGTCTTTATCGGAGCCAAGTAATGCGCGGTTCTTGGCAGAACTCAGGAGTTGTGCCAACTGGAACTGGTTGGTGGTCCACGGCAGAATTCGTGCGAAGTGAGGGTGGCAGAACCTCATCGAAGACTTGCGGAGATGTAATTTTGATTTGATAACAGTCTGCAATGTGCATGCACCAATTACCATGTTCGCCCGGTTGATTCTGAGCGTTCGGTAATTCGAATATCGCAAGTTGTTCGCTAGGGTGATCGATTTCGTGAAAAGATAGAGATAGCAGAAACAGCGCTGCAGCCTCAGATATCAATCATGTACGGAGGGCCAACGCGCCGGCCCACCTCCCGGGTTTGGTGTCGGATCATGTCAATTTGTCCAATACGTTACTCATGCACATATGCAGAGGTGCTTAGAGATAGTACTTGCCGGTTACCACTCGATTTTCTGGAAGTGCTGTCCGGGCCCTCGGCGAAGCCTGCATATCAATTATGTTAATATATTATGTTCTGCCAGCAGGAGAATGCAAACCATCTATTAAGTCGTTCCACCGTGACGTACTTGAGCTGGGAGGTACAGCACGGAGTTTAAAATTTTTGTGCTATTAATAGTTTTGCCAGACCGCTTGTACTATCATTCCGGGTGTTCTGCAACTTTTTCAGCAAATCTTTTGTAACTCGTCAACCACTTCATATTATCTTCCACGAATTTAGAGTATTGTAGATTCGTACCTCCTCTATATAGATTTGATTTTTTCTCATTTTTAGGACATTGTGGTGTGGTGTCGGATGAAAGCTGAGAAAATTCAGGGTCTGACTGCTAATCTGCAAAATACGGTGACGTCGAGTCACACCTTGGGATAGCACCGGGCACAGTCGACTTTGACTCTCCGCACTGCGCAGCTTTCGATCTGTTGGTGTTGAGTATCAAGTCATGGAACTTGAAGTTTTGAATACAGCAATATATTATCATTAAGTATTGTGGTTCATGCATCAGGGAACCGACGTGAAAAAGATAAAGGTTGACAAAGAATTATCTAAAGTAAAATGCATATAAAATCTGTCAGAATTTTACTCCAAATGAGAAAGCTTTAAATACCCGGACTAAGTTGGATAGAACTCGCCAAATGCACATTGGTGACAGTCTCACTGCAACCACCTGCCAGCTTATCATCACAATGGGATAGGTTGCAAAAGCCACCAGCCCTGACAAGGGAATATTTAGTCACCACCAGTTATCTAGCTGTGTATTAGTTGCAATTTGCTACAATTGTTCCTGCTCAATGTAACCTTTGACTACTTTTTCTTCCTTCACAATCTTCAGATGAATGTCTAAGTCAGATCAAGCTTTATATGGCCGGATTGTGTTGGATCAAAGCTGCCAATGCCCCAAGGATGTTATGTGATTGTAGTGCAGTGCCTTAATATCTCAATGTGGTTGCCAACTTGCAATGCCAGACTGGATTGCCAAGTTCCACTAAGTGCACAATTTGGATAACAGATGGCACTATCCTATCATCCTTTTCAATATCTATGATTTATGATCACAAGATATAAGGCAAGGGAGTTACTTTATTCCTCACAAACTCTAGATAAATGCCAGTGCTGGATACAGTCTTCAAAGACCAGACTGTTTCTGATCAAGCTGCCTTTTGTCCAAAGCTGCAGAGCAATGACAACATGGTGCTATCCCTCAGCTGGTTATGTTCAATGATCTCAGCTTGAGCAGAGTTTAGCTGCAGATCAGTTATCTTGCAGGGCATGCTCACATGGATCAGTATTGCATAGGAGACCATTGTGCTATATCATGAGAACTTATTATTATTTAACAACAGGGTTTCAGGTATTTTGTCATTTCAGGTCATTTGGAGGCCAGTGTTGTAATCACTTCAATGTGCTAGCTTGGTCTCAATAGTCACAAGATACTTATATTAGGTATTACTTATATTTACTACATAACAACATGAAAACTATGAAGAGACTGTATTTGAATCTGCCGCCTGTTTGGCCGCAAGGCGCTTGAGTCGGATTTTCGATAAGGCACTGTTGGTGCTGACTGATCGCTTGGCAGCAGAGGAAGTAGGAAAAACTTGACTGGGTACATAGCAATATATGAACTTCAACGAAATGGTAAAGAGAGATAGCCATACCGATTCCACCATGTCAGTAGCTCCTCAACCTCCTTCGATTCATCAGGGTCCTCAAAAAGATCAAGAAGGCTATGGTAAAAGGTCTCCGAGTCCATAGTAGTGTCAGTCCGTGAGAACACTGAAGAGGAGCTTATAGCGAATCGAACCTTGAATTGCATGTATATTAAAACACTTCCGGATCACGTAGCTTTTGGTTCTTTGTCGACTGAGCTTGGGGACGTGAAGATGTGTTTGTAGGCCTGGTGTCAAAAATATAGTGAAGAACTACGGAGAAATGTTTCCACTCACGCATACCAGTAAGCGGCTCCTAAGAAGCCCACACCACGGGTCTTCTGTGTCATATGTATGGTGGGCGAACAAAAAAATTGGCCATTGATCTCTGCACACCGACAATTCACTGCTTCGGAGGTTCTCCCTCGTTCTATTTGGAGTTTTCAGCACTGCAGACACTGGAAAGTGAGAACATACTGTGTATCATTCCGGTCCAATCCAGCGGGACATAGCAGTGATCCGGTAAGCTCGTGGTTGAATCTGCTGTAACGAGACAACAATTGCTGGATACTACACGAAGTAAGTAATCAGCAATATCAAAATGTTGTGGTCTTGCGCGGCCTAGTCTGCTATACTTGTAGACAAGTGCGTTCGACCCGAGGGGTTAGCTATCTGGTATTAGTCTGTAAACGGTGGAATGTCAAATGATCAAAAGTCCGAGCGTGGGAAACAAAGTCCGAAGGTATAACCACGAGTCCGACGCCAAAGCGTCGGGTCCGATGTTTTCGGGTTAGCGGACTAGCGGGTTTCGGGTGCGTCTTCAGCGGATTACGGAGAATGGCGATAGCGAGTGTCGGGAAAGCGAGCGGTATGCGGAATATCGATAATGACTGGTGTTTTCGGATAGAAAGAGTGGTAATATTTGCAATGTCAACTAAGAACTACGAAATATTGGGTTTGACTGCAAAGTGTCGGAGAACGGCTCTCCTCTACTTGGATGATGAATAATGCTCGAGGTCAGTCCAATATATATGTAAGTATGTAGAAATGCGGAACCCGTAGGCGAAGGTAGCGGCGGAGTATTTCGGATCCGAAGTACATGTAAATAAACATGAGGCACTGCGGACTATGGGAAAACATGTAATAGCGCTGGCTACGACGTGAGTAATGTGCGAAATAATGAACTACGCACCTAGTGGGGCTAGCAAGACAGGACGGGACACGGATAGGACAAGTGCGCGGGAAAATATCGGGTCCGATGCGCGGGAAACGTCGGGTCTGCCAGTCAAAGCGTCGGGTCCGATGTCAAAGCGTTGGATTGAACGGGAAGTGATTATCGTGGAACAGGCATTAGACATGAATTGTGAATCATCTGAATACGAGCCTAGCGTGAGCTCGAGTGCTACACTGCGATCGATTTTTGAGTTCCTGTGCAAAGGAGGCTGGATTGCTGCCCCTTTTGGAGCAATCCAATCAAGTATAGCAGACTTGAGCATTTTTGTATCGTCACCTCTTGCACCTGCAGCCCCTTTGCCTATCTGGTACTCGTCAGCATGAACTCTGGCCAAATAGAAAACAATGCACCAGCTCTCCAACGTGGAGAATTTCTTCCTCGGACCCATTTTGTAGGCACTCCAGAAGACTGGGATAAGAATCTAAGAGTTGTTCAAAAACGCGATGTTCTCATTGTTCTCTGCCAAGCATGTCAGTCAACGGGCTACTAAATAGGATTTTTTGGTTTTCACTCAGCAGAAAAGTCCTCCATTTGTTCTAATCTGAGGATACCATTGGTGAGTAGAGAGGGGTAGTTACCCAGCGCAAATACTGTGCGACCAAAGTGACGCCTGTGGGATATGAGAGGATCAGACGTAGAGCTGGGCGACAAGGTGAGCCTACAAAACTGGTGCCAAGATTTAACAGCTTACATTTTTTTGCGAGGCCCCAATTGCAGGGCTGATGCAGCGCACTTGCTTGGAATGTTGGAAATGGTGTCTTTGGTGGTCATGCGAGCCGGCAAGGATTGAAAAGTGACCTAATCTGCATAGATACGGGGACCCAGCTTTTTATCTCCATCACTGTCCTGCGTGGGATTCCAGGTAAGGGGTGTACCTGATGGCTGCTAAGCACTAATCACTGGCCGTGACGCTGGCCGCTAAGCACTGGCCGCAATCTTGGCAGCCATGCAACCGGGACTGAGTACCCTTCCGTTCAATCAATAGCAATGAATAGAACAGTTATAAAAAAACACTGGAGAATTGCCAGAGGATAAAAGTTCCTGGCCAGACGGACATTACCATACATATTCACCACTACGTCCAACCCAAATATGTCACAAACCTTGAATCAGAGTCAGACCATCAGTCTGCCTGGATGTATTATGAGTTTGAATCTCCGGTGAGCCTGATGACTCACTTAACAGCAGGACGTGCTAATTCTGTTTTAGAATCGAGTTAGTGAACAAGGTCAATGAAAGAGGTGAACCTGCCAGTGTAAGGTGCTGTAGTATACCATCATCAATCAGTCTCAAAGCTGACCGTATATCAGCGAGACACATATTGACAAGAACAGGCCCTCAATGGAGAACAAAGATCTGCCCGAAGGCAACTGTGAGACCACTGAAGAATCCGTGGCGGAGCTCAAGGAACGACTGAGACTTGCAGAACTGAACTGCGTAAAATTGGGAGAGCTGTACCAAACATACAGACTGCATTGGCTAGAGGAGAATTATCGGGCAACGATCTTAGAGGAATACGCACCAAATGGAATCAGTACTATATCTCCTCGCCAGATAGCATGGGATGCCCCCTCTCCCTTCCCAAGTATGTCCAACGCGTGCTCCCCTAAGATAAACTGACTGACTTTCTTAGCTAATGTCGATGACCTTGAGAATCTAGGAGAAGACATACCATAGCATTGTCATATAATATTATGGTTGCTGTGCAGATGACATGCGTGACTTTCTGCGTGGGGAAATTCCGTCATTGTTAGATCTTGGAGTGAGGTGAAGGAGAAATACCAGTTGATTCGAAAAATGACATGCATAAGGCTAGTGAGAGGCGAAATGCTACAAGCGGACTTCAGTTGCATGTCAAATAAAGCCCTTACAACATTAGAAATGAGATTACGGACCACACAGAACAAGCACCATGGCACTGCCGTGGCTCATTCAGAAGTTCTTTGAAACGGATAGCCATATGATTGCCCTAGCATTAGTGCGGGAGTGGCAATATGTAGGTTTCAGTGGTTTGCTAGACAGCCTAGGAAATATCAGAACTGGACATTGAAAAAACAGAATAAACTGACGTCTTCTAGTAGCTGCCTTAGTGGCGGCGTGTTGAGTCATTTAGCGATTTCAGGGTGGACGATATAGTAAGGCTCAGAGTGTTGGATCGCAGGCACTTTGTGTTAGCATTTCCAGCTTCAATGCCTTGAATCACATTGCATTGCTCGAGCCACCGGGATTGCTTGGTGACAGAGGGTGTAGGAAAAACATGAGTGAACCAGCCTAAGCAACGTAGATGAGAGCGATAACAAAATGATAGAGTCAGCGACCCATAAGAGTAGGGCACCTCCAAGAGTTCAGGCCTCAGGCCTTCAGGAAATGGTAGCATGTCGCAGGCGAGTGTATCAGCTTGCGAAGTTGTCGTGCTGCGGCTGAACATTGAATCTGCGTGGTTCAATCACTTCCTTTTTGGGATAAGTAAGTTTCAAAAATCTCGTTCGATCATCATGCATCAATTACGACCGATTCCAAGGTTTGAACTTGATTTTTGAAATAATTCGGAATCAGCGTGAAAATCAGCAAAGGATGGTATTCTTCAATTCGAACCAATAGACAGGATTGTGAATTTAGCTAGTGTGATATCGTTAGATATTGGTACAGAGTGCTACTAGGTGTGTATTAGTACTAGTAACAGTTGCAGTAATGATGTACAATGTATTCTATCCCGTCTACTATTTGGGATTGTAAGTTGGAAATGGATCATGATCGGCACATAATGTGTGGCACTGAAGCCTGTGGGGTAGAACATAGCACTACTAGATTTGTGGTATGATGTGGGTATTGTTGCACCAGCCAAGCTTCATGGTGGTTCATAACGCTCATAGCTAGAGCATTTTTCAAGTATCGGTTCTCTAATCAAATAAAAACATGCACATTCTGTATCACTGAGTTCACACATCACGTCACACTTTTCGCCACACGAGTGAGACCACCGGCACAGAGGCGCGCAAATTGCCTGATGCGATGTGATGTTTGTGGCCACGGAGTAGTGGCCGCCTCGGGTCCTGAAGTCAGGTTCCGGGATGGCGACGCGTTACTAAATGCATACCCTATTTGCTACCCACAGCTCAAATTGCGTCTGTGAAACGTAAGATTATATTCAAATTACTTACAAGAAAAAACTTACACGGCAATCGCTTCCAACCTGAGGTGAATGTGCGATGCGAGTCATTGTCTAACGCGAATGTCAGTATATACGATCGGGAGGGGTCCAATTATACTTGCTGTGAATATTCCTTATTTGGTGTTCGTGATACAGATAGGCTGATAGTAATAATGTGTGATTGTATCATTGTATCCAACAATGCCAAATAGTGATAAACAATGATTCGATTGATGCGATGCACATGCTCACTGAATATTGAATGTCTAGTAACGTACATCGATGGGCCCATTGAACTACAGGGGTTTTCGATCAATTGATATACATGTCTTAAATAGAGTCTTTGAGTAGTGGAGTGGCTGGAGTCGTGATTGGTACCGGAAATGGTGTAAGAAGGTTTTTATTTGACTCATCACCGTTGATAGTTAGCCTTGTAAAAGACGAAATGGTTGGAAATCGATGCGGCAAGGGTCTAGAAGGCTGCTCTAATCAGTAAAAACGTGTATATACTCACATAAACCACGTTTCTATACTTGGAAGTGTCGTGATTGCAGCTTTTTCATTGTCGTTTGGAACCACGTAGCCTAGGCTAAGAACCAAGCTTCGTCCGAACTTCCATGATAGTAGTACTGACTGTCATATACATTAACTTTCTTGGGGCTCTGGCATACCTGATACTGTCGAGTGTGCGTGATCATAATCGAATCATTGCGCAATGTGTAAGTTTGTACGATGAGTAGATCAAACACATTTTCTCGGAGCATGAGTCAAGTATTCAAGTGTTGTGGACATATGTTTACACCTATCAATTTGTGTACTAGTAACTATTCTAGATATCATCATCGTTTGCCGTAGACATGGCTAGGACTGTTTCTCACTGGGATGTATCAGGTTTTTCAGGACTATGTGACGTTACATGAGTGTAACTATGTTTGCAGGCATATATAGAAGAACGACCCGATTCTAACATCACACATGGAATATACAAAAAATTCTGTTCAAATCACATCTACTCTACCAGTGTGCATTAAGACTTCGTGAAATGTGAGATATGCATCTCCACATGGTGGCTAGGAGCCAGGAATGAAAATTGCACGTAGGGAACTGGGAAATCCAGGGCGATATCATTGATCTGTATGGGTAAAATATCGGCCAAGGTCTTTACCCGCTTCACTCCCTGTATCGTGGTTACTTTTGGGACTCCATTCTTGGTATCCATACCGAAGACATTTACTTCCCTGAGCGCATACAGACAATGAGCAAGATCGAAATTTGTGCGAAGGACACTGACCGTAAGGAAGGTAGCTCTTTGATCGCTTGGGAGAAGGGGAGGAATTGCTCTGGGCATAGATACATCCCATTGCAAGCAGCCATGACCCTGGGATGTAGCTGGGGCGCTTTCAGGTACTGCGCCTGCACATGTAACTTGTGAGTAAAGGCCTGGTAAATCTGATAGAGGCACGAGTTCCTTCATTGCTCTGCTAGGATGGAGAAAAGGCTCACTAGTATGACGAGTGAACATACAGTACTGCATCGTAGATTTCCATTCCAGTCTTGAATGTCCCCAGGAAATAAATCCGCCATCCGTCCTTGAACCTCAGCAAGTTCAGAGATAGGTCGCATCAATGCGGCCCACATGACTTCCCTAAAAGCTTGAGTTGTAACAACATCACTGATTCCTTGTTGAACCTGATAGAAGAAAGTCTTAACCATCGATTGTGGAGTTTCTCGTCTCTCACCCATTGCAAATTGTCTGAGTTGAGGAGAGCAACCAAATCAAGTATCTTCTGGTCCCTATGTTCGTCGCTGACGACAAACCCAGTCAATGAACAGGCACTACCTCTTGCTACCTTCCGCAGCTCGGAAGTAAATTCTATGTGTGCGTCCTTGAACTGTGCCTATTTTAGAGCGAGTAAGGGTAACATATCAGAACGAACGTACTTTGTTCCTTAAATATGACCAGCCCACATCGCTTTCGATTCCAGCAGTGTTTTGAACCTTCACTGACCATTCCGTTAGCTACTGGCATTCAGAATTAGAGCTGGATACTTACACGGTTGTTTGTGTAGCGCTTCAAACATTGTATTATAATAAAGGACTGCTCGGATGAAACAGGTGGTTATCAATTGCCTTGAAAATGCGTGCTGCATATTGAACGGGTTTTCTGGAATACCGACTAGTAATTGTCCAGAATAAAGACATTTTCCCAGCTGAAACGGCTTGCTCCAAGCTGAATTTGTCAATGAAACTTTGAGCGAATCTTTTTGAGACTTGTCGAGAGTATCCAGCCTAGATTCCATTGCCCAAGAGAGCTCAGGGTGGAAGGATGGCACCTGACCAGTGAACTGATAATCATCAAGGACACTCGGGAGGATGATGTCCTCTTCCTCGACAGTGGTGGCACCATATAGAGATGCTGTGACACCTCGTCCTGTAGATTCGTAACCATCATCCAGGGACAGGTATGGAGACGTCACTGGTGCCAGACAGAGCAGTTGCGGAGGTAGCTCAAACGTGATGACGGGGGGTGGTGCAGGAGGCGGAAACCCTAATGGAAATGTAGCTTCGTGAAACGGGATATTATGAGTTTTCTGGAGCACTTCAAGCTATGTATGCGGTGTGATCTGTCTGGCGATGTGCTATTGATGGGAGCACTCACTGACCAGACGGGAGAAGCCTCCCTTTTAATTATATTGCCCTTACAAAACAGGCTGCTGATATTCCTGAGAAAGGTCGAACCGCCCTCCTAATATGACCATCGCGTCAAAATTTAGCATAGTGGCACGATAGAGCTCTCACCCATATCTCATAGATATCATATAATTTGTCGCCACCGGGTGCCAGGTAGCCTATATGATTCATGATGGCGTGGGATGCATCTGCAAGACGGATGTGCTCTTGAGGCCACTGTAAACAAGTACAATGAGATGAAATAATTCAAATTGATAATGATAGCCTCACATAAATTGGCGATAGTTGCCCTTCGTGCGCGGTATACCCCAGAAAGAGAAGATTGGAGGAACCGTGGAAAGGCTAAAACCAAGTCAATTAAGAAGTTACTTATCAGTTATAACAAACCTCATCAATCTGCATGGCTGTCAGTGGTGATGCGGATATCCAGTGTGAATTGTACTTACATTGTTGAACAATAATTGTGCAACTTCGCCCGTGGCTGGTACGAAGATGAAGATCGGAGGGTAAAGAAATCCTGGTAATACTATCTGTTGCATCTTGTGAGAGGCAGGAGGGCCGGAAGATGAAAGAAACAGCATCAAACCAGACTTATATATATATGGGCGTGCCCATTCGCCGCTTTTTCAATCGCAGCAATGAATTATGGGGACTGAGCAAAAACGACCACGAGTCAGGGCACACCAGGGGTTTGGAAAGAGGTAAATAACTGTCAGGCTACACCAGAGATTGGTATAGCGAAAAGCAGGTTTGATGGCGAGTTAGGGCACGCCAGGGATCACCATGCGGCAAAGAACCCATCAGCCAGATGTGTCAGGCTACGCCAGGAATTGCAATACCGGCAAAGAGCCCGACAGCCAAATGTGTCAGGCTACAACAGAGATTGGCGAGGCATGGAGTGAAAGCCTAGCAATGGCCAGTCAATCATTGGCAATACAGCAAAGAGCTGCCAGGAAGAAGTGTCAGGCTACCAAATAAGTGCAGCAAATATTATTAATCTTCATAATCAAAAGTATGGCATGTCGTAAACATGTCGTCCAGCGCCTGAACGAGCGACTCTGTGCTAGCATTAAGTCCCTGATCAAAGAAATCAGGATCCTCCACACCAACATAATCCTCATCTTCGTCCTCTTCGTCGTTGTCATCGTCATTGTCATCATCATCATCATCATCGTCATCATTAGGAGGTTGTGGGAGTGTCCTTTTCCCGAGGCTTCTCCCAATTTCCAAATGTTCATTTTCTGTCCGCACTGTCTGTGTATTAAGGCGGGGTGTCAAACAGGGGTCTTCTAGAATATTTGCCTGATGAGAATAAATGTGGCCCACCCCAAGGCCATAGTGATAGCGCATAATGGTGTCACGATCAACAAAGCTGAGGTCATAGTATTAGTCGTCATCATCATGGGGTGTAGGTCCATTTACCTGTTGACATAGTACTCATGCCAGTCGTGTTTGTCTCCTGCGAGAGTGGAAATCCCACATTCACCCGAGTTGCGCTGGCCTTGAGAAAAGGCAGGTATGATATGACATGCCCTGAGCACGACGCTTGGGTCCACGAAGCTGAAGGCATTCTGATTTCCCAGAGGCTGGAAATGAACGCGCCCCAAAGTATGTGTGCTCCATGCGTGAGTCTGCACGGATTCATACCAGCGAACGAAGAGAAATTCTATTCAGTGAGACTCGTATACGTTTGCGGCACGCACAACGTTAACATGGTGTATGCCAATGACTTTGGCATAGCGATAGTGGCCACCGTGACTATCATCGTCTTGAAGTAACATAATGTTGCAATGTGGAGTCTTCGGGTTTACAATGTCTTGAGCCTGTCGAACATCATAGGCAGTGTAGTTGAATTTGGCAAGGTTGTGGTGATAAATACGATTACGCTTGAAGAAAATTGAATTGTGCTGGTCTGGACAAGCTGGTCTCTCCCCAGGTGATTCGACGGTTTTCGGCTCGAGGCGATTGAGAATGTGTTCTTTTAATCGAGGTAGGAAACCCTGCGTGACAGCATCTCAGGATGATGACAGCTAAACCACAGAAGTTGCTTACCTTCATAGCAGGATCTCCTGCATGGTTACGGAGGTACTGACCAAACTCGTCATATAACCTTTCACTCTGACCGATGTGATGATGTAGTTTGGGGTCGCTCGCTATTTCGTGTACATCTGTACGAGGGACTCCTTGTTGTTGCCGTTGCTTGATGCGACGCAAGCACATCTCACAGCGCTCAATCCGAGTCAGTTGATGAACAAATGTGTTTCAATCAGTGCGACGGTATCTGCCTTTAGGGGTACAATGCTCCAACTCTCCCTGATAAAAATTTAGTCGGTGAATGGAGGGACAGCGGGTTGGGACTTACTGGTTCAGTACTATACAAATCTGTTGTGCCAAAGTAACAGATGGAGGCCACGTAGTCTACTAGTCTCCAAGGATGTGGAACTTGTAAGTCTGGATGTTGAATGACTTTTTCTTCCGCGGTTGCTTCGGCCCAGGTACATTCTGTGACTGTTCTAGACTTGCTGTTTCCTTACGTTTGGTGTTAGAACCCTGGGAAGCTCGCTCGGGACCACATGGATTGCTAGTCCCTGCCCGTTTGGCTGCTTCCTTTGCCTGCCTGCAAGATCATGCACCAACTTCACGATCGAGCTCCTGGGTTTGATATGAGAGGCACACTTTTTGCTTAAATTGACGAAATCGTTCGCCAAGCTCAGTTGTTTGCTGTTCAAGAATGTCTAAGGTCAGGTCAGAATGTAGGCGAAGCTTCGCAAGTCCATGCCAGTGTGACATGGTAAAAAGGAGATCAATAATAATGTTGTTGTGAGCATCGGGGAAAAGGCCATCGAAAACTGGGATAGAACACTCAGACAAAATTAGCACATGAAGACGTATGAGAACCGTTCAGAGTACGTACTTGTAGAAGATCCTCGAAATTCCATGCAGCCATGTTCGACATCTCGGACACATTTGAACAGAACTGCCTAATTGTCGCTGGTCCAAACGGAGGGACCTGCCTATACCTGTAGAAGTCAAGCATTAGTTCACTAAGTCATTACTGGGATATTTGGCTACCTCCTGTCAAGTTCATGGACCAGATCCTTATCCAAGGCGGTAAGAATTCTGAGTAAATGAATTAAAAGCATATGCCACACTCCAAGCTCGACCTCGTGCAAGAGATCGACAACAAGCACAATAAAGATGTTAAGTCCAAATGGACCAAGACAGTCTGAAAACGTGTTCTAATGATAGGTCAGTAAAGGCGAGACGACAAATTGATGGTCTTTCTCACAGAGGTCGGTACCCACGATTCAGGCTTGAGAATTGACTCAACTGCTGTGCTATCTACACCGAAATTCTTCCCGTAGATAAGGTTTCATGCTGTGGTAACCAACCGACTCCTCGACTTATCAGTATGCGCAAGAGTCCTACGCTGTTGCCTATCGCGATCCATGCACAGGTGATGAAGCCTGTTTGTGGGTATGAGACATCGCGAACATGGACAACCTCCTAGCTGCCGGATAGTAGCAACCAGGACCCTGGTTAAGGTGAGTTTATGTATCTTACAAACAAGCATTGACAACTCACTTTTCGGGATAGTCTGCAGAATAGGTAAATACCCGCAGGTAAAATCTACGTTTGACCCCGTCACAACAGAGAATTATGATGCCATGTTCGTAGGCCTCTAAAAACTCATCATAGAGCAAAACTCTCCATTGAGCTTGGAACAAGTCACAGTGGCAATGTGTGGTGCATTCATGGCCAATGCCCTTGCCTTCGGTGTAAGTCCCTGTGAAATCCTTGAATAAATCTGGAAGCTGCCAAAGCTGTGAGTTTAAACACAGAGGAGGAATGGCCATCATACCTTTTGAAAATAGGCAACATGATTGGCCAGGTGACAAGATGGTCTACAATGACAATATTTTGACTTGTTACCAAAATACATATATACTGGCCATAGCCTCACGTTACCGAACGTTGTCAGCTGTGTGGCATCCGACCAGAACATGAGTGCTGCAACCACACAGGGTAAGTCACATCCTGCCTCTCCAGGAGCTGCCTGGAGTTCACAATGTGCATCCATGAATGCTGGTGAAGTATACAATTCACCCTGAATGTTCACTTCATGGGGTAGATGGGGGGGGGCTCCATCGCAGCTGGTAAGGCTCATAGTGAAGATGTTCATCGTCATGGGCATTGGCGAGTTTCTCCCGAATAACTGATACGAGAGGTCGATGATAAAGTTGAGCTGCATCATAAAGTCGAGTGTCTGGCTGAGCTGTAGTCTGAGAGAAAGGTACTTGGATGTTTACTTCTGTCTTGCGCCAACCTGCATCATCATCCTCCCATTCATATCCTTCCTCGTCATTATCGCTTGCGCCTAATTGCGAATTGATCTTGTCCCAGTGCGTGTGTCGCACATCGTCTGGATCAAAATCTGGTCGTCCGACGATATTAAGCAGTTCCTTAAAGCTCTCCTGCAACTTTTGTACGCCACTGTTCCAGTACCAATGGCCGACATTTGATTAGGATATGGGTAAAATGAGTCACGAGGTTTGGCATGGCTATCCAATTCTACTGGAACCACAGAGGGGATAGAGTTGATATCTTGGAATGTTACAGCCTCTTCCAGGTCATGGGATGGGGGAATCGAAGAAAAGAACTGGCGCACGAGTCCAAAAACATTCCTTGCCGTACGGAAAGGAGCAGGACACAATAATGTACAATCAGTGGTAGGCATGTCAATGGATTTTGCGGGTGGGGCAGACTCCAGGTGTTGGGCAGTATGGCTCGGAACACTTGGGGGAGGCTGTAGGAGGATATCCTCATACTGTCTATACTGCTGTGGCATGCAAATGCCAGTACATTTGGTTCTGCGCTGGGCCAGGGATAAGCCTTTATCTATTTCCACAGACGCTGTGCCAAGATTGGCATTGGATACTGGAATGGGTAAATTGCCTTGTAAATGTTACAAGTAACATCGGTCATGTGGCCCCCCTATCATTTTCCCTTCATCCTCGCCCTTACCATCTACCGGCTCGTCCTCCTCTACCGGATATCTGTTGACCGGATCCTCGGGACCATTCCTGTCCCTCGTCTCCACCCCATCATCCACCTTATCTCTGATAACGCACCAATGTGCGCACGTGCCTTGGCACCTTGACTCGTCTAGACTCATGCCACCAATGTGGCTTCCTCTTCTCGTCTCCCTTGACTCGCACCTGCTGTGCATTATAACTCTACCATTGGCTCAGTCCAACGTTCATCGGTCTCATTCTGCATTCGACCTCTCATCACTAATCAGGCTGTGTTGCCAACGTACCTATACCCTTTCTGTTTCCCCTTTACCCTTACCTACAGTACGGTAACCCAGCCTTCAACCCTCTCCACTTAGTATAAGTAGTCGGTCATCTTGTATTAGAGTCCCTAACTTGAATCTACTCAATCTTCCCTCGAAACTACTTCCTTCAAGAGCCTCTCAGCTCTTGTCTCTAGTACGACTTTCTTAGGTGCTCGTTGCATCTAAGTCTACCTTGATCGACGGTCATCGTTAGAACAAGACTGTTCTTCCGTTGACTTCAGTGACTTCACAGACAGCCGTCTTAGAAGTCACGTGACACGCGCGTCTGTGATATCTGCCAACTCAACGTCGCCAGTCTCACTCGCTACACCGGACCCTTCCGGTTACGTCACGAACATTAGCGGACGACGCCCCTCTTAGGGCTCCACATAACAGATCTATTTGAGTGTGTAACAGTAAAGGAGAACTTGCACATGGCAAATCATGGGGGGGGTGCGCTACTGACTCTGGATAAGTGCTGGAAGACTCTTCGCTGAATGGCTCGTAGACCTGGTCAGAAGACACGAATGAGGCTTGCAGGCAGTGGAATTGCATACTCGAAAATGCCATGCTAGTAGGTGCATTCTTGGCATCCAGCCGGGGCCATTTTGCAGCTCCTAGGAAGTCTTTTGCTTTCGATAAAGCAGAAAATAAACATTTTTTGCCTTTCACACACAATTGTTGATGCCTGGTGTAGGCGCTTTCTTGAGTAAACTCATGCGTGCAAGTGCATTTGAAACACCTTCTGGATGAATCGGCCAGATCCATGAGGAGCTACCAAGACGAGAGACAAAATTGAGCCCAGCAGTAAAAATCGAATCGAATGACTCACCAATTTCATCCATAACATAATAGACCTAGGCACTAGATTGCCAGTGCAATTATCCGGATCGCCACCATGGCCATATTAGCATAGGCCGGAATCCTGGCAGCATAGATTAAGGCTGGTGTACTTGATGGCAAAAGCGGAAACAGCCATGATATTCCATAAAGAGGCGAGTCCTTGCTACACCGACTGACCCAATGGAAGCCCCATCTTCACCTTCTTCTTCTATCATCACTGCCCCGCCCAACTATCATGAAAGTGCTTGCAGGCTCGCCAAGCTCATTACAGAGGCCAAGACTTGCCACTTCGCCATCCTACATTATGACAGTACGTCAAAATCGATGCTTGAATGGTGCTGGTGAGACGCCATTTGAATCACGTACCACTTCTGAGCGTTGACATAACCCGAAAATGCAGGCCCAACGATGACGAGGGCAAGAAAGTTTTACTGTCAAACTTCGAGAAGTACTGTACAGAACGTAAGTTTCAATACCCGTGCTGCCTATGTGCCGAAGAAGGTGGTATAGGGGAATACACAGAGGCAGCAGTGTACCCATGGAGGGATAAGGCTACCAATAAGATTTGTTGGAATGTAAGATGCGCATCTGATCAATGTGGATATCGAAGTCAGCATTCTTCATTTTTGAGAAGATCACAAACTAACCATCACCTAGTTAAAATTGACGCTTACTATCACCGATCGTCTGTAGGGACCTGCCAGTACCCTCATCAAGGTATGGAGTTACTGCGCTACAGCATCATGACCTTATTGAGAGATAATTCAGAAGAGCACAAAGAACTGCGTTTGATTCACCTCGAATGGACCTACCCGGAACAAACAGAATTGATGAAGAAGCTTGAGTCTGCTGTTGGTGACGGAATTACAATGAATGAGTTCCGCATTCTTTTTAGATGCTGCAAGCACTGTATGCAAGTGGGAACAAGGCTGACAATGAGGCATCATATCCGGATCTGTTCAGGAGGAGTGCAAAAGCGACGACCTCGGTAGGAGTCAGGATAAGGGTTTATTATTGTCGGTACTGATGAAACTAGGTCGACACAGAAATTCCCTGACATGATGTAAGGTGTGGGGCCGGACCCAGTGTCAGTCAGGGATCAGGTGGAGCTGCGCAAGAGGGTGGGCCAGCATCATGGATCATGTCAGATGGAGGCTCTTGTACTTAGCTAAAATTGCACTAATGTCATTTACACTGGAAATTTTCTCTACCATGCCTTTGCAATTGGCTACGGGTTGACATGAGCGATGATTGATGAGTATTGAACGTTCTGAAGTTTGAACATGAATGCAGCAGTAAACACAGCCCATTTGCATCTGTCAGAAATTCAATTATAGCGGAGCATATATCATTCCTGGCCAGCCGGTACCCATGAGATTTTTTCTACACCCAAAAATAATTGATTATCCCTCCTTCTGCCCTGGTAGCCAGGAATAAGAATTTCCGATGCAATTCGCCAGCTAGACGCTCTAAAAGTGTATCCCTCGACATGGACAGAATCGAAAGCAGTCGGTTTCCCAGTGGTAGATACAACTAATACTTTATTTTCGGCTGAACTTAACCTTAGGCTCTATTTTGACATAAATGTTATGTCTTGGAGAATCGTACAGTGTATGTCACTCAAAAGCGGCAACTACCGACATCAAAACTTGTAATTCTATCTACACCTTCGGAAATACCTCTTTCGTCTTGAAAACCTTACAAATGGGCTATGTTAGAGTAGTATAGTAAATCTATCAGAATACTTTTTCAAAAAACTTAAGTTTCAAATTTTTCGCTAGCCAAAAGTGAATTTCGAGCGGAGAGTGTCGGAGTTTCCTATTTGGGTATGCGGCATCTGACGGCTGACTCCGCGATTACTCGACGAGAACACCCAAGTTCATCATCAATGTAGGACCGCACCGACGATGTGATTTGTATTTCTTCACGGCAAATTCAGCTTGACGTGCATTAAGACCTTTCCTGGGATATTGTGAGAAGGAACCATGAAGCTGGTTGAGTTACACACCTGTAAGCATCCATATATCTCCAAGATTTTCGATAAAAGGCACGTATTGTCTTGATCGGGCATGCATCAAGAAGCTCTGGTACAATGCGCTTCGCGGTGAGGAATGTTCCATCAGCCGCACTGCGGAAACCTGCGAGAATTTGGTCACATCACAATGAGTCAGCGCTGACAATGTGGCCACACACGAGTTTTTACCCATCCCCAGTACATTTCAATGGGATTCAGCTCGCAGTGAAACTTTGGAAGAAACCAACATTTGTGTCCTGCTGCTTCGATGATGAGTTGTATGTATGGTTTTTCGGCTTTGAAATCTTGCTGATTTGCGAGCATTTTCCGCATGCAACAGTTGACACCCAGAGATTCGCGCACTATGTGCGCATGCAACTCGTCAGGCTCGTCTCCACCCTGCGCTGCTGCCAGTGCCTCACGACGAAGTGTTTCCTGTGCTTCTCGTGACAATTTGCATGTCTGACACTCTCCAACAGCTTTCCCTTTGTTTGCTGCTTTCAGGACTGAAATTAGTCCGCGCTCCTCAAGTACACGCTGCATTCCCTTCGGCTGTCCACGAAATTCGTAATCCGGGTGATCGCGAGGGAGCTCGCATGGAAAATTCATTTTTTGGAGCTTTCCACGAAGTTCTGGATGTGGATTGTCCATCGGAATGTAAGTGTCGTGTATGGTCCTCTGTTTGCCGCCTGGCTTGACATTCATTTCCTTTGCATTCAGTGCGTCCTTTGCGAATGCTCCATGCGCGGATGATTGATCGAAAATGAACTCGGCGACTGCGTTCGGATAGATTCGCTCGAAAATCAAGATCGTATTTTGTATCTTGATGTATACTAAGTATATTCTCAAATTTTGTCCAGGATAATTCACGACGCACTTGTTTCATCAGATTCTCATTTGTCCAGAACCCATCGTGATTTTTTCCAGGGTAAATAATCTCGCGAGAATCTGTGCAACTCAGCTGTTGACCATCAGGCAGTGTGGCGTTTTGATGCAGCTGTTCCTCAGATAGTGTCAGTCTTCCTGTCTGCTCGACAATAAAATCGGAGACATGGATTGCACGCCCTTGGCCCTTCTTTCGAAGTGGCATCTTCCCCTTGGTAACATATACCCGTCGCCGAAGTTCGTTAGCACGGAAAATTGACTCGTCGTGCATAACAGGTACATGTAGTTTCTCTCCAGGCCCGAGAGTTGGTTCCACTGGTTCAAGGTCCTCATCCCGGTAGGTACGACGAAACCTTTGCTCATATCAGTGAAGATGCTGACATTTGAATAACAGGCTTTATACCTTTCATTCACAGCAAACTGTTCTAAAAATTGTTTTCGGTAAGCAACAACATCCTCACGCTCATGACCGTCAACGTAGACACCCTTCTTGACCTCTTTCAGCTCATATCCGAGTTTTGCGAGCCAACGTCGTGCCGAACCCTCAGATATCTGTTGACCATTGAGGTTGAGACCAAGTGATGGGATTATCACCGTGTTTACTTGTTTCATTAAGAGCAGTGGTGTTATCTATAGTCCATATCAGAAAAACTAACCATTGACAGTATCCATTAATTGGTTGACTCACCTCACCATCAGAAAGGACAGTCAAGTAGCGACGCACAGCTTGTGTGATGCGCTCATTATTGAGCAGTGATGGGTGTCCGTGGTGCTTGCCAGCACTCACTGGAGGTAGTGTATGAAAACGAGCAACATATTTGTACAGTGTGCGTATCTTTCGTGCCATGTATGGACCCTTGCCAATGGAGACTGCAACAGCACGACTCGCTTTCATCATGGGTGCTTTAATGCGTGGATTCCGTTTATATTTGTCCCACAACTCGATGAACTGTTTGAGAGTATGCAGATGCACTGATGAGGTGAATGATTTAAATTTCTTCGCTTCGATGATCAGTTTCTTGACAGTATCGATAACAGGAGTTGGCTCTGTGAAGTCATGATTGTCGTCGTCGTCTGCTGTCATGTCCAAGAAAGGATGCGCAGCTTCTTGTTGAATTTCGAAGGTAGGAACCTTGTCGATAGACTCGGAGGTGATGTCGATGTCCGATGTACTGGTTGGTGATGGTTCGGAGGGTGATCCGGACTCATTTTGAGGGTCGTTTGCAGTATCTCTTACTGGAGGCTTCGGGGCCCAGAAAGAGGTGATTGTCGTATTGTTTTTTGCACCCTCTCTCATTTTTCTCTTTCGAAGATAGGTAGATGTTCGTGCTGTGCCACTGTATGTTGGCATAGAGCGTTTGGGCAGTTTCACTAGCTTCGTGTCCCCTGAAAAAACATCCTGATCAAAGTTTCGATGTATGTCAGTGCACTGATTGATATTACTCACTGAACTCATAATGTCTGCCCAGAATTTCTGAGCAGATACTGCTGCCCTCCGTGCACACCCCTCTGCATAATCCACTGTCTCTTCAGCCTCGAACTCAGTCAGTGTCTCAAGTAAGTCGTCTCTACTCTTCCGCTTCTCTCCCGTGGCATGGACCACAATCTCCATAGCTGCTTCATCATCTGACTCGCTCTCGTTATCTGATGCCTCTCCTATATTGCCGTCTATGAGACTGAATGACAATGCTCCATTAAAGTTGGACTCGGAGTCGGCTTCACTTTCGGCATCTGAGACAGGCACATAGTCTGGGTCCAGAAAGACTTCCAAAACATCTTCTATCAGCCCATTGTCAAAGCACCTCGATGACGAAGTATACTGCTGCTTCGCTTGCTTCTGTCTTTTGGTAGGGGGAGGCATTTGACAGCAAAAGTGAACAATTACGTAATCAGGTGAAATTTCGGAAATTTAGATTTACGCTCCTTTTGTCCAGGTTTCCTATCAAAATTTGAATCTAAGTACATATGGATCAAAATTGTGGCCTGGGGAGAGTTGCCGTCCCTTGGTGACATACACTGTAGTGGCTTCTAAAGTGGATTATCTGATCGTTGATTTGTGAGTGCTCAGGCCCGTTGTGCTTCAAACGGCTTTAATCAATTCTGTTCTGGAATACACTACGGACTCGTTGACCAGATTCTAACAGTCCTATCTGGATAGGCTTCAACTCCTATATATGCCCTTACAGCAGCACGGACGAGTATTCCTAGGTGACGCCACCATTGCCCACTCCTCAGCGCTTAGTAGCAGCCACTGTACCGTCACACTATATCCCTGTTTCACTCAAACCCGGCCACTCGTCATCACCTAGGGACTTTTCCTGAAGCCTGCCTATTGTTCAGCAGCCATGCCTTCTGCTCTGACCTATCGTGTCTCCTCTTGGACAGGCACCCATGCCACCTAGGACGCGAGAGAAAGATAGCTATCCTTGTCCTCGTAACACTTAGAAGAATGAAGGCAGAGGCACATTGTGTATCCACTTGGAGACATGTTTGAAATTCTGGTATCAGATTTTCAAGTCAAACATTCATGTGGGGCGCAAATAAGTTGTATTTTGTTATGTCATTTATTTATTGGTTTCTCTGCTGGGGCGCCAATGGAGTTGAAGTATACTAAGTACAACCCTAGATCTTAAGCTACTCCTCCTGAAAAGTTTGAGAGTGCATTTCAGAACATCAACCGCCTGAACCAGAATACTCCGTTTACGTCATTTTGATCGCCAGTGAAGGATTGATGGCCAGGGTATGGCATACTATTCAATCACTGCAACAGTTCAGTACAAATATATTCTTGAACAAGAGTAGGATACCATTTCTCCGAAAACCACACGCTGTACATACTTCCTGCAATCTACTATGTCGTCCCCTTCCTGCCTTCCACCATTTAGCTCTGTGGCTATTTGCCTTGGAATGTTTGAACTCTCGAATATATTATCCGCTCCTAAATGGCTGGAATTCTACATAAGACTTATACCATCGGAGACGGTCAGTCCATAATTTCTGATACCTTTACATATATTGAAAGTTCTTCATATAGATCCGAACTGAATTATACTTGCTTTACTTCTTACTTAAAGGTCAGGTTCATCTCGGCGACGTCTGGCAAATTGTCGGGGGGCGTTTGTTAGAAGCGCAAAGGGAGGAATCATTACGAAATATTGCTGGGGACAGTTCACAGTGTAGGACCATAGAACAAGCTTTCATAGAAGAGAGGAGGGACCGATGTCAGTTAGAAGTATCTCTGTGCAGTCAAGCCATCAATTACATCCAGCAGAGATGGATCATTCATGAGATTCTTTTGGTTCAGTACTACCACGGATGAGCGGTCTGACGCCTTCCTTCTTAGCATTGCGTGCTATCAAGGTCCCAACTGTGGATCATGTCTCTGTCTCAGCAACTCCGAAATACGTTGTTGCACCTCCTGTGGCCCATTCAGCAGCTGCAGTTGCCTATTCAGCAGCTGCACAACAGAAATGTGAAAGTTGGTTAAGGAAACAACACACCGACCTCATGTCACTTACCGAACCCTTCTTCATCGAAAGTGACCCGCCCCCGAATACTCCGGCTATCGATGAGCTTGCTCATGCCCCAGAACAACGAACATCAGTCATTGTAAATGTCAGTACTGTCATTAATTTACTTGGCTGTTCTCACTATATCTCTAAAGTGCAACCCCTCATTCCGCTTGTCCAGCACATGGGTCACCCTTTGCGTCCAAGAGGCCTTTAATGAGGCACGCAAAGTGGAACTAAACACTCAGGCTGGGTTAATGGTGACATATCTCGACATTGAACGTTACCATTCTCACCACTGCAATGTTGATTCAGAGCTGCTTTGCTTGCGGGCAAAGATGCTTCGCGCTAAAGCTGAGGTGGAACTTTTTGAGCTGGCACTCGAAAATGTGTGTGTGTCCAACTACACTGACAATGTGCTCTCTTCAAATTTCCATGCTGTTGCAGCTTCATCACGTCCAACTTCATTCCAGACAGTTCTACCAGAGCAGGTGCATATATACAAGGAGCACATTCCTGCCGGATCAATCAACGGCCGCAGTGACTCGACTTATGGTAATAGCCTTGTGTTTGTCTCAGCCTAGATGTAGGTGGCGTGCTATGTATGGTCGGGTGTAGTAACATCAGTTTCACCTACATCTGCCGCAGTTCGAATTACACTCGTAATCAGGTGCTTGTTATCTCTATATGCTTGTATGTACTACCAACCTTGTAAATCATTGAGTAGTTTGTTTAACTTATTGATCAGGCTATACTCGGCATGGTGCGGATTGCTGACTACGTTCTCTCAAAAGACGTACGTCAAACTAGTACTGGTAACGAGTCTAGCAGGTTGCACGGATATTCCCAATTGCCCTGTTTCCTCCGACGCTTCAATGCCAACGCGCATGCTACATAGACCAGTCGTACTCGCGACTGTCTGTCTTCAATCCACGATGTAGAGCCCCTTCAGTGACAAATTCCGTATTATACGGGCCACCCGACCTACATAATATCCTGTATGAGACGGGCCAGCGGATTATGGGCCCATGTTGTGTATATCCTCGATGATGACAGATGGGCCAGGTAACATATTATTTCCGATGGAGACGGGTGGGCCCATGTATGCCAATGATATATATATCCTTGATGTTGACGGATGGGCCGGGGGAATATGATCATTCATGGAGATGGGTGGGCCCATCTGGGTAATATGTAGAGTAGGATATTATAGACAGCTGGGCTGAAGAGAGATGTAAGGCAAATATTGTTATATAGATGGGCGGGCCAATGGGGGTGTATTACATATATGGGTGGGCCGAGGTAGGGGAATATTACATAGATGGGTGGGCTGACGTGGGGTGTATTACATATACAGGTGGGCCAACATGAAAAGTATTACATATATGGGTGGGCCGATGAAAGGGATATCAAATAGGCAGGTGGGCCGAGGGTGTGATAAAATATTTATTACATAGACAGGTGGGCTGAGGTGGGGTATAATTATATAGACGGGTGGGCCAACATAGGATGTATTACATAGACGGGTGGGCCAACGTGGGGGATAATACATAAATGGGTGGGCTGATGTGGGGGAATTGTACATAGATGGGTATATATATGGGTGAGCCTAGATACGTTTCATCAAGACATACAGCTGATGTAGCCACCAGCAATCAAACACGTAGGATACATGTACACTATGAGTGCATATACCTACCATCAACCACCGAATCTAAACCCCTAAGCACTAAAACATGAATAGACCATGTGTGGCATTGACCAATAATCGAGGACTGAAGTGGAAAAACCCCACACCTGAACCCTGGTGTGCAACATATCCTATTTCTAAGCACGGACACCAGAAGCACAACACTCACAAAAATATAAATGTCAAATTTTCAGTGCCAAACCCCAAAACGAGATTTACCAACCCCCAAACCCCGAAATTGTGGACTGCTGGGTCTCGGGTTTTGGGGTTCGGGGGTCCCGGAACTCGGAAGTTGGGAAATTTGGGGAGATCAATAAAATTTGATTTACAATCGAGTTGATTGACAAACACATTGACTTACCCATGTTTGAAATATATTTTTGTTCTCACATACCAAGTTCCGAGTTCCGGGACCCCGAAACCTGAAACCCGGCAGTCCACAGTTTCGGGGTTCGGGGGTTGGTAAAATGTGTATAGATATATAAAAGGTTGATTTAAACATTTTTGAAAGATGTCTCATATCAAATGTTAAGTCCTGAGTTTCGAATTTCGGGTTTTGGGACTCCGGGTTTTGGGACTCCGGGCTTTGGGACTCAGCACTCCCGAAATCCGGAAATTGAAACTTGGGACTTGACATTTGATATGAGACATCTTTCAAAAATGTTTAAATCAACCTTTCATATATTCATACACATTTTACCAACCCCTGAACACCGAAATTGTGGACTGCCGGGTTTCAGGTTTCAGGGTTCGGGGGTCCTGGAACTCGGAACTCGGTATGTGAGAACAAAAATATATTTCAAACATGGGTAAGTCAATGTGTTTGTCAATCAACTCGATTGTAAATCAAATTTTATTGATCTCCCCAAATTTTTCAACTTCCGAGCTCCGGGACCCCTGAGCCCCAAAACCCGAGACCCGGCAGTCCACAATTTCGGGGTTCGGAGGTTGGTAAATCTCGGTTTGGGGTTTGGGGGTTTTTAAATCAACCTTTCATATATCCATACACATTTTACCAACCCCCAAACCCCGAAATTGTGGACTGCCGGGTTTCGGGGTTCGGGGGTCCTGGAACTCGGAACTTGGTATGTAAGACAACAAAAATATCTTTCGGGGTTCGGGTGTGAGTGAAATGTTTATAGATATACGTAGGTTAATTCAAACATGTCTGAAAAATTTCATTCGTCTCAAATGTCAAATCCTGAGTTCCGGGCTTTGGGACTTGGCACCCAGCACCGGCACTTGGGGTTCGGCACTGAAAATTTGACATTCGGGTGTTCGGGTTTCGGGTAATATCTAAATCAACAGCTTCGAGTTCTGCCAAAGCGTGAAACTTAAAACCCAGTGTGCAACATGTTGATTTTTCATTTATATCACATTTTAAAATGCCAAAAATGTGACTTTGTTTTGGTTTATTTACTACGTCGCTGGGAGGTTCTGTACAGAGCTGTACAGAAGGGACAAGCTGTGGCGCTGTAGCACTCTGTAGGCGCTGTACAAGGCCATTGTAGTTTGCTGATGAAGCGTCCTTGTTTTCTCATTCTCATTGAGCTCCTCAAATGAAAGTCCAGCACCCGTCTGACCAAGTTGTAGATTGATCTCGTTATATTTTTTGCGTAGCCTAAAACACCTTGTTAGTAGCTAGGTTGGCGCTGAAGAACATGGGAATGCTGGCAGCAACTCACGATGTAAATCAGCCTTGAATGGGCTTCACAAAAGCAAGAGGGTGTGCTTGAAAGTATTCCCTGACCTTCAGATCCTCATCGCCTGCAAAAACAGATGCTGCGAGCTGCTGCATATAAGTGTTCTTCTGAGTGGTCATCTGCTGACGCATGCACCCTTCCTCCTTTGCATCCTTGGCAGAATCGGAGAATATTTTTAGTCAAGCATCTTGGTTGATTTTGCACCACTCGATAAGGCGAGCGGTACGTGGACTGTTCTTCTTCTCCCAGTGTATAGTAGGCATCTTGAGTGCTGGAGCTGATCCAGTGCTGGCAGGTAGGCTGGCACTGGGAGGAGCAGAGGAATTAGCTATCAGTCCATGGCTACCACGCTTCACTGGGTGACCTCGAGATCCACGTCCATGACCAGTCACGACTCCTGCCATGATGCGCCGTGGGACACAGTGAGGAGCCACATCTAGTGTAGATGGTAAGTCCAATCCATCAGGAAAACACTGAGACTTAGGTAAATCTAGTTACATTTGATAAGTCTGCACAAACAAAGTACCTTTGGACTAACCTTGTTAATGCTTGACAATGAGATACCACATAGTTATTTGATGTCTACTCTCTATCACTTGGCTGTAACATTGAGGACCTTTGGTATGGGCCTGCTTCTGTCTACCCTTTGGGCAATATTTAAATATAAGTTTATCGTCCTACACCTTTGGTTATCCACCTCTCAATTTGTGATGATGATATTGGATAACTATATCACATAACAACTGATGTTTACTCAATGGCTGCTCTGTATCATTTGGCTGCAACATTGAGGACCTTTGGTATGGGCCTGTTATCATCTTTGGTGTTGTGCCCACATCTACATATTTTATATTTCCAATTGGTGTCGACGCCATGTGCGCGCTCTACTCAAGCCCCTTTCATCTTTGGCTCAGAATCGTCCGCAGGCGACACTTGTAATAATTGAAATATACTAGTCAATGATCCTGTTAGTCTGCCCCAAATACGCGAGACAACGCGCAGCCCTCTTAAAGGGAAGAATTCGGGTGTCGCCCCATTCAGCTACAAAAACTCTTCAGTAACCGAGACTACACCAAACCACTGCTTCGCTATATCGCACGAACAAGAAGGCTGGAACAAGTTTTCGGAGACGTAAACCCCCCCAATCCAGAGACAAAGAGAATGTAGCCTGATGAAAACTGCACCGTCTCTACCACCATCCCACACACCTTCAGTTGGTGTAATTGTCCTCGCAACTGCCTGGACCAATAGAAAAGACCCTCGCACACCTCAGAGCACATATATAAATAGTTAAATAGCACATGTATTGTCTACTATAGGGCTCCGCCCCACCGGACAATAAACAAGAATCAAAAAAAAAACTAGTCAATGAAGAACAGATGAAAGAAAAAATAATAATGAATAGACCGCCCATCACCCAGCCACCTTTAGCCTACTTATTTAGATCAGTCATCTTCAAGATGAACATACGGTGTCACCCCTGCACGTAAACCATACCAAGCCAAGGGGCTTAAAATGGTTATCACAACAGCTAGGCAGCAGGCACATGTAATGAGAGCAGGTTTGGAGTGCTGGGCATCTATGAAGGCACTTGCAAGGAACCCAAAGCTGGACCATGTGATGCTTTTCTCCCTGTAAGTAAACACAAGCGGCAGACCAAAAGTTGACTTGCCTCATCATACAAAAAAAACGGGGTGCGCTGAGCACCCCAATAACCACTGTCATCCCCTGATCCAGGTAATAGGCCTAGCGAACTGTATGTTAGACTTTAGCAACTGAAAAAATGAAATAAACAAACCGCAAATTGCAAAGATTTCAATTTCTCGCTGAAGCGTTGTGCAAACATGCCTGCAAACAGGCAGCCCACACAGAAAATGATAGATCCCTTCAAAATAGACTCTGCAATCAGTCCAGTACCGACACCTTGCACAGCAAGGAACCCGGTGTCAATTGCCATGATGACCCCTGCCTGCCACAGAGTATTAAATGACAGAATCCTCTATACTCTGAAAGGCTACTTACTAAGGTGATTTGTGCGTTGTTCTGGGTGTTAAAGTCATCAATGAAGTTTTTGAGATCAAGGTAATTGACCAGGCTGTCAACATAGATCTGCTTGAGATGTTCGCGAACCAAAACTGGAAGGCTTAACATAGCAACTGTGAGCATGAAAGGAAAAGGTCCCCGCATTTTAGTCTCTGAGCCCATTGAATGGGTTCGTAATAGGCAAGCTTCAGGTTGGCCAAAATAGTTCAGGTATTGATGATGGCCTGTTATTACTCAGTGACAATGTCTGGTAAGATACAGAGACCACCGACGAAGCAAGTGATATAGTCTACCTGTCATCAATGAAATAAGGATATAGTTGTAGATTTTTTAAAAGCTTATGAACCAAGCAACGCAACACTTGGTTCTGTTATGATTCCTTCAGGTCCTGCAAGATCATCTGATATCCGGTCATCAAGGTGCGATAGAGCAACACATGGGAACATACCGAGACTGGCTAATCGGCTAATGATTTTCTCCATTGTCTCCCTGTTGGAAAATATAGTCGCTGAGGTGGAACTTTCTAATGTTAATGTGTCTATTGTTCATTCAGGTCAGGCTATTCAGTGCTGCATGCTATAGAACTCACCTGCGTGAAACCAATCAAGTTCAGTGCGCAATTGTCGTAGAAGGATGCGATCCAACTTGAAGTCTCGGGGAAAAAACTCTACATGCTTCCTGTTATGCAGTTTGTGAATGAATCATACTATGCCACCATTTACAATTGCTTACCAAAATTGGGCCTCAAGTTCGAGTCCTGCACGATATTAAAGGTCAGGTAAAGACATGAAAAGGTCACATACATTTATGATTCCATCGATGGGCAGAGTCACATTCTCTGAAAAGAAGGGTACCATCTAAGGGTTCCAGCCAGCCGATGATGCGTGCCTCCAGCGCCACCAGATAATAAAGGTAGACATCCCCATCCACATTCTGAGTCCTCATTGGCTCAGCGACCAAAATGAGATCTCCCTGTACTCGGCCTCGTGTTACTTCGATCCAAGCTTCGAACTTATCAATGCGATCCTGAGAGCAATCTCTTATGTTCAATCCAGTATATGTGTTCTAAATTTCCAAAACGTAAGTGTAATGTGTACATGCAGTCAGTACTTACCCTTGTCCTATTGTAATAATAGGCGACTCTGGACAGATGAACAAACTCCTCCCATTCCCCATAAACCTCATTCCTGCCAACATTAGAGTCAAAGTGCTACTGTTATAAGGCAAAAACCGACTTAAAAAGGTTGAATTGCAGTCCCTGTACTGTAAAGTCTGGGCCTAGAAGTGGCACCCTGCATATGATAAAAGTCAGCTTGGATATGCAATGTCAAAGTAACGGATACTCACCGTCTCACTTTTTGGGCATACCGCCCCAACTGCATCGGCCAGGCAGGAGTACTGCGGTCCAGCGGAACTCTCTTCTGTTATAGACATCAATCACAGTCTGAAGCACAGGATGAGAAGCTATCATTGGACATACCGACATTGATACTGCTATGATTTATGTTGATTAGGGATTGGATAATTGGGAAATCAACAGTAAAGGGTAAGTAGAGATACGAGATCATGGCAGCGCACGAAGTAATCTTACCAAAATGCGCAAAGCTTCATCAATTGTAGTGTTTGACTCCAATGTGTGGTGGATGGGTTTGTTTATTTGTCGTTGTGGTGGCTGGCAGGCCAACACCGCCGGCGCTAAGATAGTACTACTAGTACTGTAGAGTTACAACCATAGCTTCGTCACGTGTCCCACCCTCCAATGAATTGAAGCTATTTGAAGTGACGGTCGCACTAAATTTGGGGTCACGAAGCTATTTTTGTGAAATAACATAAAAAAGACAAACATTCGCTGTAGACAACTGATTAGTGCGACCAAAAATCATTATACAAGGTGTTCGTGGTGCGCCTGCGCTGTCCTCTCCCGAAACCAGGGATCTCTTTGATTTCCTCTCCTCCCTCGCCTATGTTCAAAGCTTCAGCAACCTGAGCATGTCCTGCAACTTCTGACTCGTACACCTCCGCCTCGTTATGTGTGATAAGTGAGCCGTTATCATTGACACTGTAGCCTGCCGGCGGGTCCTGGCTGCCGCCATCTGCAATATGCTGTAAGATGGCCTTGATTGCTACATCACTTCCATCCAAGGCATCGGCATCGGCATTGTCTGTGGATGCTGGCTCTTCATGTGCATCTGCGACACCATGCTGCTCCTAAAGATTGTATTGGTGAGTCGAAATCTTTGTCCAGAGGTCTGGCTCGTTCTTCTGCGTGTCCCAAAGTCATTGCAAGGCCTCATGGCTCGTAAGGCTATCAAACGAGAGGTTAAATGATGGACCTGCATGGCAAGAGTAGAACGGCACCCATCGAACCATGCTTGTCCGAACAGTTGCTGGAGCTCTGACAAGAGTGTGAGGGATGGGATAGGACACAATAAAAAGTCCTTGGGAAGCTCCGAATTAGGTAAAGCGTGTTCTTTGGGAAAAAATGTGGGGGCCAATCCTTTGTCAATATCATTGAGTGCAAAACTGATGGGAAGGTTGAGCAATGCATCCACAGAGAGAGCTCGGGAAGGGATGGAAATGTGGATCCATGGTGGCATAGATTGAAGGCGCTTGATCTCATTCTGGATGACTTTTGGGGGACCTGTCTGAGGAAATGAGCGGCCGGATCGATGATATCCCAAGGCTGAGGTGAAGGCTCCCTAAATTCAAGGTTTAGATGCGTTGGTTTGCGATTCATTCGCCTCTGAGGTTTCTTATCTGTCTCTGAACCGATACCGAGGCTATCACGGTCGTGTAAAGACAAGCCATCAACCCTGGCTGATTCATGGTTGACAATGTCTACCTCCTCCAGGTCTTGTTCCTCGTTTTCCAGTGGCGGTGTTAGGATGCGTGCGCTCGTGCTGTCAGTGGTAGGTACGCGAGTGAGTGGTGGGCTGAGTGGCAGCTGTTCGGTTGAAATTTCCCTATGCTTCACTTCAAAACTATCCAAATTTTCCAGTTCGACCTGCTCTGCCCCTGAAGTTTCCTCATTGGCCAAGTCCATGCGAGTCCACGAGGTTGCTTGAGAGATGTGTAGCTGCGCTGGAGCAACGAGGCTGGAGGAAGAAGACAACTGCGGGTTGTGAGTTGTTGACTCTGTGGATGAAAGAATCTGTTGGGAATGTGTATGGGATGTCGATTCATCGTTCATGGGAATTTCAAGAGATGTCATGACTTGTCAATGTCGCATTGAATATGCAAGGTTGAGGAACGCTGAGGCTGGCTACTTGCAGGCATGAGTCAATATAAAATACTGAGCAATAACGCACGAGATCCATTCTGATGGGTCAAAAATGATGGACATGCTGAGGAAAGGTCAAACTCACATGTGATGCAGCTGCCTGCCTTTCATATCCATCGGGAAAATGCCCACATCAGACAGCCCAAGGCAATGACCTGAGGATCTTTCGGTCTATGTCAGCACCAAGAGGGAAGGTAGTTGCAAACCCATATCAGTCACGGTTGGGACGAAGCTAATTTGGGTGCGTCACACATCACAAGGGGCTACAAAGATAAGGGTGACATAGTCACACCCAAAAGGGTGCGAAGCGGCTATGGTCGTAACTCTACAGTACAAGTATATGTAATTCAATGGCCTTGTGTGGGGTGAATACTATGAGCAAGCATCTGCCAGTGGTCCCACTATCTGACATGTCATAGCTTTCAAGCTTAAAATACCATTAATGAATTCCCCTAACCGCTGTCAGGGTTCATAATCATACTCATGTTGAACAAACATATTATCTAACTCCTCCACAACCGACTCAGAACTCTCATTTTTCTCCTGATCAAATAACTCTCCTTCTTCGACGCCTGTGTGATCATCCTCTGATCCATCCTCCAGCTCGTATTCATTTCCACCAACCTGTTCATTGCAGAGGGCCTCATCTAGACTGGTGGGTTTGGGAGGAAGACCAAGCACCTCTTCATGAGAATAGACATGCCCAACCCCTAGACCATAATGAAATCGCATCAGCATGTCCCGATCGACAAATCTACATTATAAATCAGTAAAGCAAAGGTTAAGAAGGTTGATCATACGCACCTATTGACAAAATATTGATGCCAATCGCTTTTATCGCTGGCCATGCCCGACAAGCCCTTTCCATCATTGTGTCGCATTCCCTTAGAGAAACAGGGGACGATGTGAGCAGCTCTCATAACATCAGCTGGACTTAGAAACCCAAAGGCATCTTCGCTATCTAATGCAGGAAAACAAAGGCAATCCAAGGCAGTCCCGCGAAGGTCAGCATGCCCAATTGGTGCATACCATCGTACAAAAAGAAATTCCATTCTAAGGGCAGTATGATAGGGGCCGCCAGTATACACAATGTTGACATGGTGCACTCCTAGCACCCTGGCATAGCGATAGCGGCCATCATCACTAGTGCTGTTAAGAACCATGATGTCACGGTGTGAGGTCTTGGGATTTATGACATCTTGATCTCGTCGTGTGTCGTAAGTTGTGTAGTTGAAACGAGCGATGTTATGGTGATAGATACGATTGCGTTTGAAGAGGACTTGATCTGTTCCTCCTTGATATGAGTCACCAGGTTGAGATACCAGGATGCGCAAAAGAAGATGCTCTTTTAGGTGTGAATAGTAATTCTATAATGAGAGCATGTTCAGCTATCAATGAATCATCGGTAGAAAAAACGAACCTGCATGGCTGGATCACCTTCATGCAACTGCAGGTAAGAGCCAATGTCATTATTGATTTTCTCACTCACACCGATGTGGTGGTGTACACGGGGTTCATAAGCCATACTATCCGGTGCTTCACTAGGTCTTGATTTTTGAAGACGACTCTTGATACACCTAATACAGGTTTGGCGACGCTCAATTTGAGTGAGCTGATGTATAAATAATTTCCTATCTGTTCTAAGATATCGCCTCTTGCTGGTGCGGTGCTCCAATTCACCCTGTCCAAATATTTCAGATGATCAGTACAGCTGCAATTGTCAATGCTTACTGGTTCTGTACTGTAAGAATTGGTTGTTCCAAATCATCGAATACAAGACACGTAGTCTCCAAGAGCGTGGATCTTGTAAGTCCGCAGGTTGAAGGAAACTGTCCTGTGAAGTTTGTTGCTATTTGCTGGTTCCTCTACCGTCATAGTCTGGCCATTACCATCGTTAGGGAGGCCATTGGTTGCAGATTTGTTCTTCTTGCCAGCCTGGGTTTGATGAATTGCTTCTTTTGCTTGATGGCGTGAACGTGTGTTCACTTCCCTGTCAAGCTCTTTGGCATCAAAGGCTGAGCACACGTTAACCTTGAAGTTGCGGAGCTGATTGCCAATATCAGTAGTCATCGTGTCTAGGATATCCAACGTCAAGTCTGAATGCATGCGGAGTTTTGAAAGGCCATGCCAATGAGCCAGCGTGAAAAGAAGGTCCTGCACTATTTGGTTTTGAGGAGCTGGAAAAAGACCATTGAATACCAGCATAGCACACTTCAAAAAGTCAGCTGAGCTAATCTAGCCTGTACGTTGCACAGTACCTGGAGAAGATCTTCAAAATTACGTGCCGCCATATTGGAGAGCTCTGAGGTATTTGCAGTGAATCTTCTTATAGTAGATTTCCCAAATGACGGAACCAGTCGGTATCTATGAGAAGACACAGTGTATGAGCATTCCTTTCATTGCGAAGGAAAAGGCTACCAGACCTCCTATCTAGTTCATGTACTAGATCTTTGTCAATAGAACGTATAATCCTCAGTAAATGTATTAGGAGTGAGCGCCAAACTCCAAGTTCCACTTCATGAAGAAGATTCACTACTAGCGCTTCAAATATATTCAAGCCTAGAATGCTGAGATATTTAGAAAAGGTGTTCTTGTGACATGTTAGCTTGGCTGAAAGAATCAATGAAGTTGCGTACATAGGTTGGCACCCAAGAACAAGGCTTCAGTAGATTCTCTACCCCAGTGCTGTCTACTCCGTAATTCTTTTCATATATCAGTTTTCTAGCAGTATCGACCAATTGCTTTTGATCACCATGAGAGGCTGGAGTGTAGTGCGCTGCTGTCTATCTCTAGCCATACCGAGATTGTGCAGTCGACTTTTGGAATCAAACACCTTGGACAAGGACATCCGCCTAGTTGACGGATAGTTGCGATAAGAGCTCTGGTATCATTAGCTCTGACTTTGTCATAAAAAAACGGCTCACTTCTCTGGGTAGTCTGCTGAGTAAGTGAATATCCTTGGGTAAAACCTACACACAACTCCATCACAACACACAATGATGATACCATGCTCATAAGCTTCCAAAAACTCTTCATCTAGGAGAACCTCCCACTGCGCCTGGAACAGCTCTCTCTGACAGTGTGTAGTACACTCTTGGCTGACGCCCTTTCCCCCTGTGTGATGGCAAGTAAAGTCTTTAAATGAATCAGGAAGCTAGGGGCTGTATTGTGAGTGGCTGCATAACATTGATAATAGAAGTTTGGTGGTTACCTTCTGAAAGTACGCAACATGATTGCCAAGATGGCAAGAAGGCTTGCAATGACAATACTTTGATTCATTCCCAAAGAACAGGTAAACAGGCCATAGCTTTGCATTGCCAAAACTAGTCAGGTGAGTAGCGTCTGACTAGAATATTAGTTTGACTGCCACTCCAGGGATTTGCTACTTACCAGACCAGAACGTTAGGGAAACCACCACTCTAGGAAGATCGCAACCAGGCTCCCTAGGAGAATCTTGCAGTTCCTGGTGCGTGGCCATAAAAGCCGGTGAAGTATAAAGCTCGCCATATATTTTGACCTCGCTTTGAAGGTGACCAGGGTGCCATAGGAGCTCATAGGGCTCATAATGGAAAAGCTCATCATCCCCTATATTTGCCAGCTTCTCACGTATGATGCCAACCAGGGAACGATGGTACAATTCTGCAGCTGTGTATGGTCTAACACCTGCATGCTCATTGGTACGAGCGAATGGGATCTGAATAGACACATCAGTCTTGCGCCAGCCTGCGTCCTCATCCTCCCATTCATTTCCACCCTCCTCATAATCGTTTTGACCCAAGGTGGAATTAATCTTGTCCCAAGGCATCGCCAGAACACCAGCACGGTCAAAGTCAGAATCCGTGACTATGTCAACCAGTTCACTGAAACTCTGCTGAGACTTCTGTACTCCCCCATTCCAATACCAATTACCAAGTTCTAAAGACGAGCGATTGGAGTAAGGATAGTAAGGTGAAACTTCATCAGTGGTAATTGCAGCTGACAGAGCTCTTTCTGGCCTGGGGATGGCACTGATGTCCTCCAGTGTGATCGCCTCTTCTGGATCATGAGACGGTGGGTGTGAGGAAAAAAACTGGTGTACGAGTCCAAAGATGTTTCGAGGAGTGCGAAAAGGAGGTTGCAATTCTGGAGGATGTGTTAGAGGGGGAGGTGAGTCTGGAGCTTGCTGGACGTTCAAGTCATTTATAGGGATGCTGGGAAGGGGTTGAGGTAGAACATCCTCAAATTGTCGGTAGCACTTTGGCAACTGAATGCTGCTGCGCCTCGTCCTACGCTGGGCTAAAGGCGCATCCTCACTGCCACTATCCTCCCGTCCCTGATGGTCCAAGACGCAGTTAAGCGGTATGGTAGCATTATTTGATGGAGAATTGTTGCTGGCGGTGAGATGAGGGAAGACGGTCAATGGTGAACTTGCATCTGAAGGAGTAGACTGTGGGCCCAAGGACCTTCTATGATCTGTAAGGTGAGTCCTTGCCCTTTTGACCGACCCCAGAAGATCCTTAGCTTTGCTTAAAGCTGAGAACAGCCTTTTTTTACCCTTGACACAGGATTTTTGATGTCTAGTGAAGGCGCTTTCCTGCTGAAACCCACGGCCACAAGTACAAGTGAAATTGGCTGGGATGCCATCTCGGTTCATTGAAGGCTAAGGACAACAAATGAAGACATATGGCTAAAGTGCAAGCGATGTGTTAACTTACAAGCCCCCAGATCTAGACCTGTGCCTTAGAATTCCCAATTGGGCTCACTGTTGCCAGGTGCTGACAACGATGAGCTCAGCCTTTGCGCAACCCGCAACCTTCTGATTTATAAATATATGTGTGACAATGGTGGCTAATCAACATTGCTCGACAATCATACAATCACTGTACATCATCCCCCTGAAACTTGGCATGAATGAATAGCTGTTCAGAAGTCAGTCCTGTAGCTTTCTCCTGTGTCGGAAGAATTATCCAATTGGCATTTATACTGGTCAACAAATAGGCGACGACGAGGCTGAGCCCCCCCCTGGACCATGCTATAAATGTATGTCAAAATGAGTTGTTGTTGTGAGCAAGGAACACATTTACCAGTGTAACTCTCAGTAAGGTATTGTATGGCATCTGAGAGGAGCTCCACTTCGGTTTGGGCGCGACGAAATCTTGATTGCATTAGACCCAATTCTGCTTGAAGGAAGCTAGTTTCATCTTCGGCATTAGATAAATCGTTGGCGTGTAATATCATGATCTGCAAGGAAGCTCTTTCTGTTGCAAGATCGTCCATGTAAAAGTCCTCTGTACATTCTTCCACCCATGTATTGACCAACTGGTAAGGGCGGTGACCCGCCTGCCAGACATCATAAGAATCAATCCAACAGTGAATGGCAGCAGTACTCACGTTACACAGCACCAGAGTCTTATATACCGTCATGAGCTTGGATGCAATGAATGTTGATTCTTCAGCAGTATAAACCATAGCAGGCCCAACACCCCTGTCAAAACCCATATTGCCTTCATCATCATCAGAGTCTCCGCTTGTTGAAACTTTGCTGAGCCACTCGTTGCATTTCAGATGTGCCGAAGAACCAACCCTAGAGAACCTGTCTAGAGGACGCCGGTCTCTTGCAGAGAGCTGAATCACAGGGTGCGAGCTAGCAGGACAAGCTAAAAATCAGATATCAGCATCCTCATGTAAATACATATGGTGCAATTAACTTACAGCCCACCTTCAGCTGAAGGAGGTCAATGGCCTGAGAATAAAGCGACATTCCAACTGAGCTCTATCTTTCTTGTCTTCCATAAACTCTCTTTCTCTGTCAAGAAGGACTCTGCAAGGCGCTTGTGAATTGTGCAATGATTCTCCTTGCATGAATTCAATTTGGTATGCCATTGCAAGACGCCATAGATCGCCTGAGTAGACATGTTCTCATCAACACATGGTAAGATATCAAATACGCGCAAGAAAATATCGTACCATGACCAGTCAATCATTGTTTGTGACTTTGTATCAAAGTGTAAGAGCGAAGACATAGATATCATAGCTTCTGTGGTGAGTATGGCTATCCTTCAAATACTGTCTTCATCATGCGAGAGCGCCGTTATGGTCGATGAAGGAGAAGAAGGGGGTTCCATGGCTGGCTCTGAGCATCGACCATCCTACAAAATTTATTTTATGTTAAAATGACAATGCTGTTTACCGCTTGGTGAGACTCTGACCGGTTTCGTAATTGGCCATCAGCGGAAACCTGAAGGCCTGGTGACCCACTTGGTATAGTAATTCTATTGGAAATTAGTGTAAGTCCGGGCCACAGCAAAATTCTAACGAGCCAACTGACCTTATTCAAATCGAGCCACCAGTAGCCAATGATGTTATCATCCTAGTCCTCCTAGCACTGCCAACGCGCCTAATTAATTCTTGTGAGCAGAATACGGCAACATTAAGTGACCCATACATTCCGCAAGATACTCGGCAGAGTAAATCCAAGAACTGCAAGCAAAGTCGTTTCCACTCCAAGCATGCGGTATCTCCAAGCTGACACTCTCCTGAGAATTAGGAAGGGCTGGAACAGGTTCTGCACATCAGAAGACTATCTCACTTACTAGGTCAGGCAGCAAACCAAGCCCACACAGCGCATGGACAGTAGACTGAGTTGACTTCATCTTCTGTCTCACCATGCACATCAGAAACAAGTGAGACGTGAGTTATCATATTTAACACGAAATGCGAAACTGGAACTCGCCTATTGCCTCTATAAACGACACTGACCCGATGTCCCCAACAGCTGTACCACCAAGCTTTCATCGCGATGAAAAGTATTGCATGTTACTGACGCGAGCAAATTGAATGATAAAGGATATATCGATACGACATAGGATTGCAAAGGAGCAGGCGGACTCAGAGTATTAGATAGTTAGATGGTTGGAAACTGATTGATATCGATAACGATGCCGCATCCGAACGAAAGGCTGTTGCATACAAGTCCCGAGATTCTGACTAATCAGATTATCAAAATCTCTACTGTCAAAGTTTTCACAGAACAAGTCGTTCATGGTATTTTAAGTTAGTTTATTAGAGGAACTTTCAGTCTAGCCTATGTTTAATGTTGTGCGTTTAGCTGCTGTATTATAGATATGCAAGTGATGTCGCTGATCGCTGATCAGTAATGGTAGTATGGTACAGTAGTGATACAGCATGTAACTCCCCTGGTATACCAAGGCTTGTAGCAACCTTAGAGGCAAACTGGTATAGTATGTGTGTGGAGTAGGTTGGGAGTAGGTATAATGTGCTTGAAAAAATGAAAAAAATGAAAACAAAATGTATCTACTTCGTCACAATCACCCCTAGATGAATTTCAGCTGATATCGAATAAAAAAATAAGCGACGCACCCTTCTTCAAAATCTGTTTATCAAACGCGCCGCAGCGCCCACAGTCTCTGTTGCTGCATTCAGCAGCCCTTGGGCGGCAAGTTGGGCCATCCCGCTCAATGTTGTCCCAATTTGGGATTCGGGTCCAGTGACGGCGTTGTCCTAACATATTTAAACATCGATCTATTAGTAGATCTCCTATTAGCTTACCTGAGCCCAGAAATATTCAGCTTGCATCTGTAAATTTGGTAATTGCAAGCATCGATGAACATCGCAAGTACTTACAATCACTCTCTTGGGCATAGTGCCCATCGATCCACTGCTGCTGAACACTTCTGACGCCATCTGTTGTGTCTGCATAGATCAGCGAATACTCCGATCATATGGCGCTTAGCATTACTTACCTGATATATCGATTACGTAGCTTAGACTTCGTGGCAAAGTAGTGGCAAGATACTAACGAGTTAATGTGACGGTCACAATGTTACAGCTGCTGTGACAGGCATGCTGTGCAGTGCGTGTGACTTCACTGTGACTGCTACGTGTGCCATCTGAAAACAACACCGTGACTACGGCTGCGTTTGCATGTGCTCTCTCATCTAGTTCCAGCGTGTATACTTTGCTCCTCATTTGTAGTACCACACCCCATCATCACTCCCACTTTGATACTCTTGTGTGCATACGGTTACCCCGTATACTGTTACCCTCGTTCATTGATATCCCGGCTGCGTTTTTCTTCGATAGTATCTGCAATACATTTTGCTTGTCCAAACACGCGACTTGATCAACATGAGATATATTCCTGATAGACGTTTGAAAATTTGAACATCCCTTAACATTCTGAATGCTTTGGCATAGTAAGTTTTCTTATTCAATTACATCCTACACATCCTTCTGACTCTTCTCTCCTCCTTGGAGACTCGCCGTCAGATCTGAGTTCAATCATCATAGCGGCTTCAAGTTGCTACGGCAGTCAGCTGAATAAAAGTTGGCTCATGACATCATAAGTCTCTTGCTTCGCTTCGATCCTTCATGCGTTCATGTGTTCATTCATGTTTCTAGATGTGCGCTCAATGCCTATCTATTCCGCCAACATATAATCCTACTCTCCTTCATCATCGTCCATTCATGTATATATATCATTTTGGTCTCTCCTACCCTGTCATGAGCTGAGGTGATTTACGCCCATCTTGATGTGGTGCGTAACTCAATAAGCCATCGCTTATCTATGCTGATTAGTAGTCTGTTAAATTATTGGTCTCCTCAGGACGGCCACCTTTTCGGTGGGATCATGCCTCTATGCACGGTAAGCGAGTTAGAATGAACGGCGGCAGGAACATCTTGCTACATGGCTGTACGTATGAGTGACTAATGTTCAGCCTGGACTCCGGTCACACAACCTCATGTTTTTAAAAGGGGACTTTTACTGGGGCATGAACCTTATAAAATTTGATGAACAGATCTATCTCGAAAGCTATAAAGTCTAGTCATGGCGCTAAGTCCATCATCTCCCCTCCCTTGCCAATTTCCTGCATTTGATTGTCATGCATACATTTATTTACAGCAAAAGTGCAGGGCGTGTTATGATGTTCGACTACGCTGTGAGTATCATTTACAAAAGCCTCCCTTTGCATTACACTAACATATCATTAGGAAGAGGCAATTTTTTCTTCTTTTTCCAATCAGATCAGTAACATCTGGGGTCGTCATGTTGTAGGGTGGCTTAGATGAACTGTGTATGAGCTTAGACTTCGCATGTTACATGTTAGCTGGAACTAGCATCGGCCCATGCTATGTAGGTTATCTAGCATGTCTGATGGTCTGCTTTATCTGATGTGATCACAGTGGCCAGCTGATGTAGCTATGACCACGGATCCTCCCATAGGATACATCACTATGAATGACCACAGCGGACCCCTTGTTGAGGACTCTGGAAGAGCAGAGTATCAGGTCCTTGTACCTATTTACGGCTTCACCATGAGTAGTATCCTGCAATACTTCTTAGAATGATGAGATATTCTGTCATACAGCAGCAAGACGACAGAACACTCTACAACATCAATGTGATTTCCAGGGTTCTCAACCATCATTTGATATCAGTCTGGACATGGCTAGATCGTGCGTCTTTGTGCTCACAAAACCTCCTTATCTGACTTATCTGAGCAGTTGAACTCAACTTCAGCACAAAGCTAGCGCGATGGCCGATGGGCTTCTATTGGCAACCTGCATTTACTACTGCCATGTCTTTTGATGGCACAACATATGGTCACCTGACTGACTACACTGTAGGATCTTATGACTCACAATCAGGTATGCGCATACACTTGTAGGACGCTCCTCTACTGACCGACCATGATAGGATACCTCAATGTCATTCCTAGTCCTGGCGCACATGGACCGTCTACGTCGCCATCTATTCCATCAGAAGACTTGATGCAACCCTTGGGATCGACATCCAACTTCTCTGAAGAGTTAAGCTGGCCTGCTAACATGAAAATAATTGGGGAACATGCTTCCCTTTGTCAGACAGTCTTAGCCAACCTACCTCTCGACAATCCCTGGACAAACATCATACAGTGGTTCAAGATATGTGTTATAGGAGGTCTAGTAGCGGGTAGGTATGGACATGCCATGGAGGTAGTGAAGTTGCCAGGTGTCAGGCATCAATTCCTCACACAATGTTTTCTGGAGGCGCTCTCTAGGAGTGGTATGTCGTATGATGATTGTAAATCAGTAGATTGTGAGTATCGTTGAACACCTTGAATGATGCACGCTCATGGTCCTATCATATTTCCAGTGGAATTGGTTTCAGGGACACGCTTCCATTGGCACCATTTAAGAGAACAGGTAATATGTTTATCATTTATATTCTGAACAATCTACTGATGTTTGATGATCGCAGTACAATCACAAACCCAATAATTTTGCTTCTGATTGGCACAAAATCATCGGGCATTGCTTGCAGCCAGGGCAACTTATGGATTTCTGTAAAAATCAAGCCGAGTTATAGACACGGACTTCGAGGATGCTTGCAGCTCTCGATACACAACTTGTTTCTGATTCTGTCAGTGTTTGACCCGCACCACAGTAATACTTACCTCAAGCTGACTCTATTTAGGCTGATTACGACATCATTGGCGAAATCATCGGCCTTCAGATGGCCAAAGAAATCTGGCACCACATAGTCTTACGACCAGTCGCATCTAATCCTTCCATTAGCATCGCTGATGTCTATTGGAATCAAATTCTGGACCAGCAGGGAGATGTTTCCCTGGAAGCCATCACATTCATTGTATGCCTAGTGCATCGCTTGCTTATGTTTGCTGATATTGATTGAGTTGAGTTTTAAGTTTTATGAATGGTGTCAGAAGGCCCTTAATGTGACGCTGGACCGAACCACTGCTGCCAACATTATTCTGGTGTACAAACGTATCCTGCGTCTGAAGGGCCCGCCTCTGGATAAGATTCAACAAGTAGCCAGAGATCTTGGTTTTATCAGGTATCTATTCACTTTCTATCTGTCCAGTATTTTGTATTAATACTGCAAAGAGATATCAATGTTTATGGTGTGGACAAAGATGGACACTACAAGAGACAAACTCTAGGACCGATCATCAGAACTCCTGTTCGCATCCATACATTTCAGGTTCAACACTTACAGGAGTTGATACCCGCACATTTCTTTCACCCAAACGCATGAGCATCATTCCTGTGTACCAAGCCTTCTAATCACTTTGAATTTGAAGCTCTTCATCGCTTACAGGCTGTTTCCAGCAAAAGAGTGCTTATTGGAGTATGTTAGTCTACATATATCATGTGTCCACTTCTTCTCTGTTCTCAAGATGTGAAGTATATTTGATTTCTGTCCTTAACCGTTTGTTAAATCCCTGAAGGCCTGATCTAAGCATCGCTGGCTGATGTTGATCACATGATCAAGGTGGGAATGTGTGCTCATTGTTGTCAGCACCAGACAACGGTGAGCTCAACCTAAGCGGTTGCTTTCTTCTGTATAGTTTGAAATTGATTGGAACTGTGACTATAGACACTGCTTCATTAACATGACTCAGTCAACATATGCATCTCATCCATCGTCTTTGCTATCACTGGCAGAGGCATTCAAGTTCAATCTGGAATTAACAGCGGCTAAACTTGAGCTTATAGAGTATGCTCTACAGCAGGTGGGTGGAAATCATGAGGCCTTACCCTTACTTGAGAGAGTTCAGGATATGCGCACCCTGCCGGTGGGAACCCCTCTTGGGCTGCCTTCAATGGATGATAGGTGAGAACGCCATGTACCTTAGCCCTCCACTCCAGATGATAACCTTGATATGATACAGCTTGTCCTCTGAAGATGGTGCCTTTCTCTCTGTTGAAAAGTCATTCACCAAATGTCACAAATTCTCAGCATCTGTGGAAGATTTTTTCCATCAGTGCCTTGCTTCTGATGATGGGGAGTCAGTGGATAATTATTTCTTTCAAGGGCTCAGTGCTAGTGAGACCAGATTAGACACAGAGGCATTTGAAGAAGAAGATATTGATGTCATTCCGGACAATGGCAGTGGAGATGAAGAACTTCGCAGTCGTCATCACCAACACCGGGTAGCATCCAGGAAGCTTCGTCAGCTTAACCAACATCCCTACGCACCCCCCAGAGGCCCCATTCTACCTAGAGAGCCTATTAATATGAGGCCACCTGGTCCTGATCCCACCTGTCCTCATAATGGGAGGCACCTTCATGCAGCTCAAATTTGGCAGGCGCAGGCTACGTCTATCCAATCCGCCAGCTTTATCACTTCCGATGCACTCATTGCAACACTCGCCACTCCTCATGTAGATTCTACTGCCTCTCATTTGGATGTCAGAGCGTGGGTCGATAACGCCCTGTCTTATCTCAAACAGCAGGATAGCATCCAGTTAGGTGTTGGCTCAGTAGAAATTATGATAGCACGCTGTCAGTTGGTTTCGGTTCACGCAACTGGCTCAAGCTTTATGGCCATGATCACATACATGCAGTTGGCCATGCAATGTCAAAGGTACTTGCGCACTTCACTTGGTTTCTTGGTATTGATCAATAATTTGCATTATAGCATCATCACGGCATGTGAGGAGCATTCCAACATTCGCAAATTTTACAACAATGAGGTTGCCAAGTTGAGAAGTGCGCCATCAGAACGTACTTTCCATCGCTGGTATGAACACGGCTGTAAATTCATCTTGCTAGCTGCAGGCGGGTCATTCTACTTGCTTGTTATCATTGCAGGTCTGGAAATACAGTGGAAAGTTGCATCGATGTGGTTTAGTGTCCTTCGGCAAGTTGGTAGTAGGTTGAGGCAGCCAGGGATTGGCGGTGAGTAACCTGTCATTTGGCCTCATTGCTGTGTGTTCCTATTGCATTCCCACAGATAAGGCCGACTTAATCACTCAACGTATCATACCTACCATCGCCTGGATCAGATCCCAAATGCCTATTTCCCTGCAAAGAGTTTTTCCATCTTCGTTTCTAACATGCGTTGGAGCTGGGGACACCCTGGACTGCACAGACCTGGTGCTCACTGATGGATTCTTCGATATCTTCAGACAAGAGTGCATAATATATTTATTTTACATTTGCAAAAAAATTCTCACTGACCTTCCAGAAATTTCACTCTCCCGGCCAGAGATATGGGAGTCTGGGCCATTTGCAAATCAAATGTTGCTGAACAGACGCTTGTCATTAGCGGTAAGGGTATAACTAGCCACTTACATTCTTTGACGTGTTGCCCTAGTGGGGTGAAACACTTCTGTGTTACAGTCGTCCAAACATCTTTTGACTGCTCGCATTGCAACAATGTGCGATCCCCTGCTAAGAACGACAGGAAGGAGAATGCGATATGGACGGAAAGCGAGCGTGTAAAAGCAGTGGCAGGGGAAGTTATTAGCGATCTTGATGATCTAGGCAATAAGGTGCGTGAGCTCCAAATTTTGCGATGCAGCGGTTTCACTGATGCTCTCCACCAAGATGGGTGAACTCTATCCAGAGGGCTACAGAAGCCACAGGGGATATGTACGCATACCAATGCACATTCTGAAAGGGTGAGTTGATCCTTTGATTGTTTTAAGTAGGAGCTCATGTTTTCAGCAGTATGCTTGATTTACGCAATTCAGATGGCAGTCTCATGGCTTTCATCTGTCCCTCTCTACCAGAGACCATTCGCCTTGGCCTCACCAATAGCTTGCTCGCCTGCTTTGAAAGCAAGAACATTTTGCACGTTCGCAAGTTTAATGACGCAGAAGGGGCGCCACAAGTGGAGCAAGACACTGGTTCCACCTTTGAAAAGCTGGTGGAGAAGACTCTTCTTCATCCCTTCCAGTGCCTGCATTTCTCGCTCTGGAATCGCTACTCGACTGTGGTAGGTCATTGTATTGACAACACTGAACTCTCATGCCAACGCTACATCCGACAGGGAGACAATGCACCCACTCATATTCATCCTTATGGTATGGTCAGGGCAGATGTAAGTCGCACTAATCATATGCAGTGTTTGCCCTATCCTTCAAGAGACATCTTGGAGCACCAGGAACTGTATAACAACATCCTGACTACATTTGGCGAACTATTTGAGTGGATTAAAATGGTGGTGAGTGACATTTCTGGGATGTTCAACTTAGCGCTCACCGCATCATAGATGAAGGAGTTTTTGCCAGAGGAGTGCGAAGTTCTGGTAGAACTTGGCCAGAATCTTCCTGGTGGAGAACGCTCACCGGTGGCTCCTTTCCTCTCCCTTGTCCTCAATTTCAATGTGACCACAGAGGGTCATCGAGACAGGTTCGACAAGGACCTCTGTCTTGTCTTACCCCTAGGTACATTCACAGGAGGGGCTTTGGTTATGTTTGAGCAGGGATTGGTGTTGGAGATTGGTTGCGGTGACTTTGCCATCTTTCACTCCTCTGAAACCACTCACTTTAACATGCACTATGAGGGTAGGAGGGCCTCATTTGTTTTCCACACGGATCAGGGCTTTGATAAGTGGAAGGAGGGGCGTAATGGCTGGGCCGCAAATGAATACTTTCATTGAGAAGTTTGGCAGTGATCAAATAGCAATGCTTTTATGCTCTTGATAATTCAGTCGGCCTGATCATCTACTTTGTGCTTTACGCTTTTGCTAATTCCTCAGTACTAGTACTACTGCTACTTGGCATTTCTTCCTTTCATTTCTTGACCGCAGCTTTGGACACGCATTCAACCAGTTCCCTCTGCTATCACATTGAGTTCATCTGTTAAGTTTTAGCGTGATCCTAAAAATGTTGTTCTAATTTTGCAATCTCACCTAGAGCATCACCAAAGAATGGAGATGGCACATCCCATTGTATCTGAGCAGCGGTATAGCAGTCCACATCAGGTGGTGCGTACTTCTCTAGAACATTTGAACGGTGAATCTCTTCTAACCATCTCAACCTGTATTTCTTGTACAATTCATAGAAATGATTAGAGTTCTTTTCCGCCACTGTGAGGTGTTCTTGGAGATCCAGATCTTCAACTACTTGGGGTGTTCGGGCATTGTTTGAATGCTGGCTTGAATGTGCGTGGCCATCGTTAGAGGAACTTCTGTTTATTGGACAGGTGAGTCTTTTTTAAACGCTTGTGAAGGAAAACGTTGAACGAACATAGATATACCCAGTTCTGGTTCACCTTTTTTCTCAGTCTTCAAGTCAATTTCAATCCTTCAGAGGTATCATGCAAAGTACGTTTAATGAGGTGCTGATGAGCTTACCGCAAATTCAGATTCAAACTGCAACCATTCAACATCACTGATCGTTGCATTTTGCCTCAGACAAGTTCAATACATTCTGAAGGTATGCTTTATATGTTACAATAATGTGACATCTTATCCAAATTAGTGCTTGTCATCGCCGTTACACTCAACGTAAGGAGCTGTAGAGGTCTTACAGCATACCTATTGGAGAGCTGACATACTTACGGCATGGCACTCAGCATTCATAGTCATTTGTTGGCGCTCTGCCACAGTTAATCGGCTAATCGTATATAAATGAAAGGACCAGGCATGATAGACAATTGTGCGCTGTCATGCATGGTATGTGATTCATACCATGTCAGATATATATAGAGAGTGATAAGGAAGATATGAGAGACTGTCTAGCCCTCTGTCACTGAGTTACCTTTCTATTTTTCCTTTATTTCATTGTCTTGTATTTTATTTCTCACTTTTCAGATTTATTTTACCTTGTATTTTTATGAGCATGTGACCTTCTGTTTATTTCTCATTATTTATTTTTTATTTGGCTACTTTCAGCCACAGATTTGTTTGTCAAAGTTTTGTATCTCTATTTATTTCTGACTGTTTATTTTTATTTGGCTTCTTTCAGCCACCAGATTTTATTTGTCAGCACATCATGTGACTGGGGAATATTCTGGTTTGTAACATTATTTAAGCTGACTCAACATGTTTAGTCATGATTGGTCATGCTTTGTAACAACATTCACATGACTCATCATGTTTTGTCATGATTTGTCATGCTTTGTAAATTCTTTGTAAGATTACACTGTATTTGTAATGTACTTAGTAATAAGCTGATTCATCATCTGGTTTGTAAGCCACATTCTTACCAATCCATCTGATAAATCATGCTTAGTAAGGGGGTTCCCAAAAGGTATAAAAGGACCCCATTTTCACCCATAAAATATAACTTCCCATTTTTCAT